TTAAATGCAGTTTAACTGACACTTGATTCCAATTAAATCCTCAAGTTTGCTCACAATGCTGTGTCATTATTCGTCATCTTTTGGTCAAAAATAATTCACCCAACTATCCACTCTCACAGGGTTTGTATACGCTCATGACCAACCGCAGCCATCAGCACAAATGGACAGTAGCTGGAACCCTTCAAACCCAGGCCACATTCATAATTCATGCAGTCAACGCCCATCTACAGGGTTTGCACATCTGCAGTGGTCTAATGCATGCTTTTACATATAGATCACCGCCCCATTTAACACAGGAAATGGTGGTCCATCTCATTTCAGTACTAAAACACACGAGCCTAATGTCTTCCACAGAATGTTGCAACAAAATCAGCAGTGTCCGCACTATAAATCTAAGTACTTAGGTTTGGCAGTCTTTTCTATCACATCAAACAAACATCAGTATTAAAGTCAACCTGAAATCAAAGTGGACATTTTTACCTTGCTGGTTTATGTCCTTGGTCATATTAAGTACAAACCATTGGGTCATATCATGTATGTCAGCAGAGAGGCTGTTTTCTTCTCTTCACTTTTCTCTCTTTTGGTTTTTGGACAGTTTTTTCAATTCGTTTACACTGGCAACCCAAGCTTATGTTAAGAGAGTGAGGCGGTTGATATATCTGGTAGTATTTGCAAGTTTTTTTTGTCACACTGCGAAGCTGGTGAGCTGATGATGTAGCGACATGCACAGACACACACACAGCCCTCTTAAAACCTCTTACTCACACGTTAGGTGGTAACACTCACACATGGGCTTATTTTAACAATAATCTGACTTCTTTTTTTCCTTAAGTCTTTTTCTTTAGCTTCAGCTGTGAAAATGGAATAAAAGTGAAAGCAATGTGGATGCTAAAAGGCTAGTCTGCTGCTTGGCCTCGTTTATGTCCTAAAGTTTAAAAAATACATTTTAAAATCAAACTTTCAAAATAAATAAGAGACTATAGAAAATGCACAATAGCAATACTGTAGTACCTTATCTCTTTTCATCTGTTCATTTTTTCTTTTCTTTTCTGATCCTGATGACCGTCTGACTCTGTGCTTGTTTCATTTCCGAACATCCACTTTTCAAACTCCAATCCAAAGTTCACGTTGACTTTATAGAACACTTAAAAACTAGCAGTGGTAAACCATGAGCTTAGAGCTAGACCTTCAGTTTGGGCCATAAATCTAAAAAAAAATAAATAATAAAAAAAAAAACACCCTATGGGAATGTAGTACTACACGTCATAGACCACATGTTCAATAGTTTGTAGATACCTGCTCATCCAACACATACACCTTCTAAGCCGCTTCTCCTTCTGGGTCGCGGGGGGCCCTGGAGCCTATCCCAGCAGTCATTTTGGATGGAAGGCAGGATACAACCTGGACAGGTCACCAGTCCATCACAGAGCAGACACACAGACATATACATTCACTCACAACTAGGGGCAATTTAGCATGTCCAATAGGCCTGATTGTATGTCTTTGGACTGTGGGAGGAAACCAGGGTACCCAGGAGAAACCCACGCGGACGCAGGGAGAACATGCAAACTCCACAGAGAAAGGACCCTGGTCGTCCAGCTGGGGAATCAAACCCAGGCCCTCCTTGCTCTGAGGCGACAGCGCTACCCGGTGCACCATCTGAAATCAGGGGTATTAAATGGGAGTTTGTCCCGCCTTGCTGCATTAACAGCCTCTACTTTTCTAGGAAGGCTTTACACTATATGTTGGGACACTGCTGTGAAGATTTGATTGCATTCAGCCACAAGAGCCTTAGTGAGGTCAGGTACTGATGTTGTATAATTAGTTCTGGATCACAAAGTCCACTCCAACTCATCCCACAGGTATTAGATGGCGCTCCACCACTCCAGAGAACTCCATTCCACTGCTGCACAGGCCAGCACTTGCAGACTTTATACCCTCTTGTTGAGGCTTTGCATTGGGCATGTTGACCTTGTAGCTGACCCATAACATCCCATTCTTTTGGCAGTGCATTTCTATTGAGATTATACAAGCCGTGTTTGCACAAAGGAAAGCCTGTATAGCAATGACTGACTGCACATTGAAGTATCTTATTTTTGGAAAAGCATCACGTTCACATCATGCTAAAGACATAGTTGCACTACAAAGACAATGACATTCAAGAATGCATGAACAAAGAAGACAGGCTGTGCTTGTCTATACCGTCATAGCCGTACTTTTCCTTCAGGTTCACTCTAAAATAAAAGATTAAAGAGGGTGTCATTTCACATTATATAATCTGATATTCCCTTAAGATTGATCGTGACCTTCAGAGAGCTCTATTCATATTTAATGTCAGAAACTCTCTTTTAAGCTATACTTTGTCATTAGCTCATGAATTCACAAGTTTCACTGCTTCTGATGAGAGAAAATCCATGTAGAAACTCAAAAGTACTCTGTTTTCTTGTCCCAACACCTCCCACGTTCTCTCCCCGTCTTTTAAATGAGTAATGTTTCTTAATAAAGAAGAAAAATCCCACACAGATACTACAGCCCATCTTACAACAGCTAAAACTTTGCAAGTGATAATCCCAATTAGGCTTAATAAAACGTGTAGGCTGCGTGTTGCTCTATATTAAATGTGATGAGTTCAGCCGAACATGAAAGCAAAATTTTAACAGTTTTTTAAAGCAAATTTTAGCCAGACGTGCCGAGTCATTCGAGGGGGATTCGCATCAGACTTCAAAATCAGTGCTACTATTAACTTTGCATGAACTTTAGCCGATTTCACTCTGTAATCAAACATTAATGAACTCTTCTTATTAAAACTTTACCCAGAAATATGAAACGAGGGCTGTAATATGAAGAAGATTCAGCAGGAATGGTTTCTGATTCTCTCAGCAGCTTCGACAGCAGGGGTCCCAATCCCAGTGACATTTTTTGTGCCTTTTTTTCCTCATCTTGCACACCTGATTCAACTCATTAACAAGCTCAGTGTGTGTGGGTGAGGTGCTTAGAGTAAGGAAAATGCAAAAAGGTGCAAAAATGTACAGGTGCACTAGGACTGGAATTGGGAACCCCTGCTCTAAAGCCTTAGACAGGCACTTTAGAAACGTTTCTTCCCCGTGGGAATAAGACTGGAACACTGGACTGGGCCGTATCCAGTAGTTTCTGAAGAGCTACAACCACATAGTGGTTTGAATGCTTGGCAGTTCTCTGTCTAATGGTCATGCTGTGTCCAGGTGCTGAGAGCATTCCAGTTCAGTCTCAATCTGTGCATTCGAGCCTTTCACACATCCATTAGCTCAAATGTAGATAAGCACTCCTTTCAAGCCCATTTCCCCGTTTAAATAATATTTCCATACTCCCAAACATCAATGATATGCGATGCTATTGAAGTCAGAAAAAAAATGGTTAATGGATTGTGGTGATTGCCTTTTTATGCTGATCTCAGATCAGTTCTCAGTTATTCTTGTAATATGTCAGCAATTTAAGGCAAGTCAGACCCAAGTTAAAGTGCCTGTATCCTGCTATTCTTGGATTTTATCCTTATTCTTATTTGGCCATTTTCCAACCTCTCTTTATCTCTTACAACTAAACAGACTGTGTTTGTTGCTGTGCATTTAAGACTGATATATGTAAATTAACTCTGTTCTGATCAGCTGCTCTATATTATGCCTCATGTAAAAAGCAGTCTAACCTGAAACACTCCTTTTAACTTCAACATGTATGGACAGAGCTAAACTGTTGTAGGCTAAATAGGTGAACACAAGTAAATACGGCGGCTTGACAGAAACATCCATCCATCCATCCATCCATCATCTAAACCGCTTATCCTTCTGGGTCGCGGTGGGGTGCTGGAGCCTATCCCAGCTGTCATTGGGCGGAAGGCAGGGTACACCCTGGACAGGTCACCAGTCCATCGCAGGGCAGACAGACAGACACACACATTCACACACACACACTCACACCTAGGGGCAATTCAGCATGTCCAATTGGCCTGACGGTATGTCTTTGGACTGTGGGAGGAAACCAGAGCACCCAGAGGAAACCCACGCAGACACGGGGAGAACATGCAAACTCCACACAGAAAGGACCCTGGTCGCCCGGCCGGGAATCGAACCCAGGCCATTCTTGCTGTGAGGCGACAGCGCTACCCACTGCGCCACCGTGCCGCCCTTGACAGAAACAATGAATTCTAAACAGGTTATTTCAGCAGTTTAGTTTGTATGAATTGGGAGTAAAAGATACATTTTGAAACCTTTGAAGCACGCAAGGCCTTATGTAATATGGGCCCTTTAAGACTGATATATGCAAATGACCTCTGTTCAGACTGGCTGCCCTCTATAGGGTCTAATTCAATAAATGGTCTGATCTAAAACACTCCTTCTAACATCAATGCAATTGAGTGGGTTAAAGTGCAGTAAGCTGAGTGGAGATCATTAGTTGTGACATCACAAAAACAAGGAATACAAAATAGTCTGTTTTTGCAGTTTAATTTTGTCACTGTTGGGATTTTTTTTTAAATCGGAGAACTAAAAACAATGTGGCCTGTGCAAAAGTTATGGCACATTTTATATTTTATGCTTAATTTTATTCCAACTCAGCAAATAATAGAAATATTGCACTAAAATTTGCGAATGTGTGGTCTCTGTAGAGGATGTGTTAACTTATTTTTCCTTAAAAAACAAAATCAACATGTAAATTGACTGAAGATGTTCAAACTTTTGCATACGTTTTGCATTACAATACTGAAAGCCAGCTATATAAGACAAGTTGACCTGGGGTTAAAACATGAAACACAATAAAACACACACTGTATAACCTGCCACAAATGAATTACCAGTGGCTTGTGTTGTGGAGTGTTGTTTAGTGGCTGTGGTGTGGAGATGGTTACTGTCACAATTAAGGGGAAATCGGCAAGAAACAGTAGAAGCCCTCGGTGATCCACAGCTCCTCTTCTATGGGCCTGGCTGATTACTCACTGCGAGGGGCAATTATCCTTGCTGTTACCAGGACCAAAAAAAAAAAGAAAAGAAAAGAAAAAGAACATAAATAAAATAAATCAGCTGTGCATCTAGAAACAGGACACTGCTGAAAAGGGAGAAGAGGGGAAAAGCGTGGAAAAAGAAAACAGTGCTTAGTCATAATAAAACACAAGGAGACATCACATCACATTCACCTATGAATATAAATTAATTTATTGGCCCAGAAAGCAATGGCAGAGTATACACCTCATAGAGCAGGCGGCAAGCAACAGCCTATCGTTTAGACCACTTCATGAAAAATTACAGCACCTCAAATCAAGTTCTTTGTTTTTGTTTTTTTAATTTATTTATGAAATTTAATACTGTTATCACTGGAAATCATCTTTTTAAACCTCTACACTTTACAAATAAAATGAACAGCATATGTAAACAGTACTTCTCGTTAAATATAATGCTCCTTTTAAAATGTGCACATCATTAAAAACACAACTCCTCAGAGACGTCGAGGCGAGAGGGTTCGTGAAGTAACATCTACTGACACGTTCTAAAGGCAGCACGTGAGGAAGGGAGCCATGATCCGGAGCTCTTCTTCCTCAGGAGTGACGGCACACATACCAGGAGAGGCGAGGGTTTTAAGACTGACATGTTTAGTTTTGTGTGGCTCCATCAACTTTAAACCAATAGCAATAATAAATCTATACAATAAAAGAAAAAAAAACAGGAAGTTTACAGTGCAAAGGAATCTGAGTTTAAATGAAAAAAAATGAATTAACATTCACATTCCCACAGTCTTCAATATTTACCTTTTCAAACAAAACAAGGTTTTAAAAAACTGGAAATAAGGTAGAACAAAACCTTAGAAGGTGAGATATCAGAACCGTTAACACAGGAATCACATTCTCAGCTGCGAGAGAGCCAGAGAAGCTCAAAAAACCCTCCTGACTTAAGAAGATGGAATGAAGCTGAAGAGGAAAAATGGAACTCATCATTTTTTAATCAATTCAGATGCGCTTGTTCTCTATATTGTACAAAAAAGGAACTATATGCTGGAATTTTGGCTGAGGGCAAATGAAGAGCTACAGGCAGGGTTAGTAGTGTTTGTTTACCTGCTTCTAGCAGAAGGGAATCTATTGAGATGCTTCACATGATTCCTAGAACAGAATCAATAATCGCCATTCACTGTCGAATACAAAAAAATTCAACCTGCTGGGGCTGCTCATTCTGGCTGTGATAAATAAAGCATCCTGAAGCTCAAAGCTCGACTGACATCTCTATTGTGAGAGCCCTCTGAGAAAGACCCTGCTAACCAGAGAGCAGTGGCGCATGTACTTACTGCAATATTGGGTCAGTAATGCAGCAGGGGGGCAAGTGCATGGCCTTTGACGATTGACCTTTCTGTGGTCAGAAAAAACGCCACTATGTTTGGAAGGCGGGTGGGTGGAGGACGCTTCAGATGTTCTCTGGGACCGATGAGAGACGCAACAGCGCTGTGATTGGGTGAGAGATTACAGGACACAGCTGTTCAGTGTTATTGATTATTGGCTGCAAAGCAGGCTGACTAAGCCTTTCCTCTCACCAGGCTCTCCACTTGGCTCTGTGCTCCCAATCCGTTACGCAAAGCCAGCCGAAAGGAAATGTGGGCACATAATCACAAGGCCCGGCATTCGGCATTGGCCTGCTAAGACACAGTAAACCACTGACCGTGCTGATGACAGCCAAGCAGGTCCTTGTCCTTTGGGATATTTCAGTAGATCTGGTTACCAAGGTCAACTGTGAGGGAGAGGTTCCACAAGTGTACATAAGCGTCTGTTCTTTTATTGAACCTCCTAATCCCTCTCTCTCTCTCCTCATACTGGCACAGGCCTGGTCAGAAAAGAACAAACTTAACATACAGACCCACCCTTTTCTATTAAATTGCTTCAGGATAACGCAAATGCTTGCAAACAGCTGAAATGATAAGGTAGGTTCTGAAACATCTGAACACAAACCGAAATACAGATTATAGCAGAAGTCGAGTGAAACAATCACTTTTCACCACTAGATGGCACTAAGGCAACACAACAATAGCAGGCTAGGGCACCACAAGCATACAAAAAGATACTCAGCATCACGCTGAATTCTACTAGAATAAAATAATAATAATAATCATAATAATCATAATTATAATAAAAAAACTAAATAATAAGCGTCTTCTGTCTGGAAAATGAACATTGATGTACTGTACGCATAAAGCAACTTATTTAGTTATGATACAAATGAAATAAATAACTCTGAATAACTGTTCCCCCAAAAAAGACTCATCTTTCAATTCCTGATTGACATTCGTGGAGACTGTAGAGTCTTCTGCTTTCGTACCACAGGCTTGAGATGTCCAACTGCTTTATTTAAGAGGGATCCCGCCAGAATTATTACGCTTCGTTTAGAGTCCTGCAAAGCAGAGGTATCAGAAACGTCAGACTTTCTGCTATTGCTTTTAAAAATTGTCAGGATGAAAGAGCCCATACTTCATCATCACAACCAGTTCACTTCATGGCACCTCAGAAAGACGTGGCTTCCTTCTTTTGAAATGCAAAACTGCTGCATTGTAGATCTGCACACCACAACACTCTACCAGCCTCTCTATTAATGAGGTGGCAAAAAAAGAAGAAAAGAAACAAACTCAGAAACCACAGTGACTCAGCAAAATTTCACAACATGGCAAGATCTTATAAAGCGCAAAAATGATTCCCTCTCTGTAAGCAAGAAAGAGTCACTGATTTATTCATTCTTTTTTTCCTAGTTCCTGGCCTGTGTGGATGGCCAAAGCTGGATGACCAAAGATGGAACAGCCTCACCGGCTGAGAAACCAAGCAGCTGAGGCAGATGTCTGAGAGTGAAGTAATTAGAAGCTTTGTCAAACCTCTGGAGTACAAGACGAGAGGTCCTTCATTGATAAGTAAGAAGCAAAAATTCTTCCTCAGTCAAAAATGTGAACGTTTTTCGGTGCCATTTCTGAGTCTCCAATAACCTAAAACAGGAATTGCTTGACAGTCTGTATGGAAGTTTTGACGTGTTGAAAGCAGAGATTTGTGCTTGTGTTGGTCCCAGTGGTCACACTCAGAGCAGGGGGAGTTCTTCGGCTCCTCCTTCCTGCTCCCCCGGTGCTACAGTGTGGACTCAGTTCAGGTCAATGGTGTTGAAGACCCACTCTGTGAACTTTTTGAGCTTGGCAGCTGAGTTCTGGGACTCTTCCTGGAGCCTCTGGTTGTCCTCCCACAGCCTCTTGATCTGAGCCTGCAGCTTCAGCTTTTCTTCTCTCTCCTGCAGAGACCAGGAAAAATCCACTTAGATCAAAGACCACGAATGTTTCTGTCGTCTATTAAACACTAAGCCAAAAGGCTTCATCAAAATTTGTCAAAAAAATCAGAAAGTTTTAAAGCAAACAGTGCAGAGCATCAGCACAGGCTAAAGATGCACTACTAGAAGTTAAAGGCTAATGGTTTCATGATACATATTTTGTGGTTTCGTACAATGAGACAACACATTTTTGATACACAAAAAAATGACAACATTCATTCTGCTATTATTATTAGTGTTACTATTATATTTTTATCATTATTAATTCAAAAGAAAAACACCTGTTGAAAGCTTTTTTTAAGAACGCAAATTTAAATACATATGAAGTGAACATGATTTTCATAGATATATGAAAACCATTCATATTAAGGTAAGTATGTCTGATCTCTAATTTTTAATAGCAAAAATTTATACGATTCACAGTGTACCCTAATAAAAAAATATGAATATTAATATCAGCTACTGTATGTAAATGGATCTGCTTAAGACATCAATTCTATCATTCCTGATGATTCCTATTTAATAATGTTATTTTGGTATGGGTCTATGGACTTTTACATAAGTCACACACTTTCTACAGGAAAATAGTTCTCCTTCACCTTCTTTAGGTCCTCCTGCAACATCTTCACCAGGGCTTCTAGCTGTGAAATCTTCCCAGCAAAACCTACAGGGATTTCACTGCAGAACAGAGTAAAAAGAGACCAACAGAGGACTTGAAGTTTTCAGCTGGTACTCTGACACAGTAAGATATAAAGATGGTCGGTGAGGAGGGAAAGGAACCCACCTGGGAGAGAGCCGAGAGTGGGGAACTGGTTGCAGCAGCTCCAGCTGCTGAGAGCTTTCACCTCGATGACTGATGTCCTGAGAACTGAACATAAACCCTCTCTGGACTGAGAAAGGGAGAATGAGAGGATGAGAGTATGAGCGCATGAGTATGATGGATAGATAGACAGATATGAGAGAGAGAGAGAGAGAGAGAGAGAGAGAGAGAGAGAGAGAGAGAGAACGAGAGAAGGTAATTTACAGAGAAATAAACAAAAACAGCGAACAGAGAAAGAATGATGAAAAGAAAATGAAAAGCAAGAAAAAGGTAAAAAATATGGCATAAAATAGATTAAGAGATAGAAAGAAACAAAAAGAGAAATAAAGCAAGAAAAAATAAAAGAAAACAAAAAACAAAGAAGAAAGAAAAAGAAGAACAAAGAATGAGACAGAAAGAAAAAAGGAACAAAATAAGAGAAGAGGGAGAGAGATAATGTGATAATGAAGGTGAGGTAGAGTTATTCTTTACATGCTGAAAGCTGTGTTAGTAGTATAATTAATATGCCTCTTGTGCTTCACACAGAGCCATGAACTCCAACCACACAGGCTGGCAAATCTTCAGGTCTTTATCCAGGTCTTTTCGGGCCCATCATTGTTTGTTTAACTGTATGTAGTATGACACGGAGCGTACTCTGAGCACCCCACCCTCTACAGAATTCAGACAAAAAACCTATAATAAGTAATAAAATGAAAATAAAGAAAAGACTCCAGCCATGTCAGGCAATATGGAGTGCAGGGCAGTGAGGAAGCTGAGGTAGAAAAAGAGAAAGAGGAAGGGTAGCTCACTGCGTGGGGGTCTCCCCTCACCCTCGAAAGCATTGGCAGCATCCACCAGGTGGGTCCAGTCCAGGCCGCTGTCAGTGTCAGTATCAGGTAGGGGCATGAGGCCCAGCTCTGGAGAGGGGTGCCTCTGGCGCTCGTGCAGGTCTGCTAGAGAGGTGTCAGATGCGGAGAGGTCACCTGACGTGCAGCCAATGAGAAAACATGACATAATGCGTGTGAGCTGACTGAGTTGGGCTATTGCACTCATTCACACTAGAACGTATGTAAAGCATAAGCATGAACTGAGCTTTCCATGCTCTGTCCACAATATGTTCTTCCACAACTTCTGTTAAAATGACTTTATTTGAAGAGCACTTTTCTCTTTGTGACTCAAAGTGCTTTACAGACAGATAATAAAGTTTAACAGTGAGTTTGACTTTCTTCTATTATAGCTACTATTGTGAGGTTGAACAGGCTGTAAATAATGTTGGCAAAAATCCCATGCAGCTTAAGGAGGGAATGACCTCTCGTTATATTGCTTCTCCTTTTTTAGATTTTCACCTGTTTTTGTCCATCTTCATTCACTGAGTAACTTGACTTCACTAAAATAGTATATTGCTGCCTTCAGGTTTCGCTATATTGTCAGTATTTATGTAAGGTATGACAAGGTAAACATGAGTAAATCAGTTAGAGCAAGGGTGCACAACCATGGTCCTGGAGTGTCGGTGCCCAGCACACTTCGGTAGTTGCCCCACTTGAACACACCCACTAAACCTGCCAATTTGCAGATGAGCTGAATCAGGTGTGTCTGAGCAGGTAAGGACCGAAGCTGGGCCCTGCCTTAGAGTAACTAGGTCATAGTAGTTGTGATGTACAGTGCTGTGCAAATGTCAGAAACATCCTTCTTTTAATTTACACTCAAAATGGCCACTGAGTGCAACATATTCATTTTGAAGAAGAAAATTTACAAATCAAACAAAGAAGCTGCTCGAGTTCTCAAAACAATGGACTAGTTATGACCAGAAATTTCAAAAAAGCATGTATGTCGTTTCACTCCTTTGGACTTGTATCTTGCCCTGTTATTTAAAATGCTATTACCCCTGTACATGATGTAGAGTGAAGACATGCTGATCATTATTGCAAAGCAAAGCATAACTGTAGACCACAGACAGAAAACGAGCTCACTCACCATGCATCTTAATGCCCAGTTTGTAGGAAGGTCTGCGGAGGGGAGCTCCGCGGGTTGTGGGGGAGCGGGGCAGGGTGGAGCAGCTGAAAAGGACGTCACTGGCCACGGCCTGCTCCAGCACCGTGTCGCCCAGAGACGGCAGCCGCTGACCCCGATATATACTCTCATCTGACAGGGTACGCTGCAGAGAACGTCGGCCTGTGCCTGATGGACCAGAGGAAGACACCGACTGGAGGGACAAGGAAAAAAATGAGATAAGGAGAGAAAGAGACAAGAAAAACGTGAAATTAGGACAGACAGACTCTCCAAACTCACTGCCAAGCATATGCCCATGTTCACATTAAAGAGGTGAAGTGGCACAAATCTGTTTTTTTTGCCTAAATGTGAAACATTAAGTCTGGATGACTGCCTGAAGACTGGAAACCATAGACATCACCACATGCTGTGCTTTCTCCCTTGACATGCTTTGCCAGGCCATTACTGCATCGCCTTCAGTTGCTGCTTGTTTGTGGGTCTTTCTGCCTTGTTTTCAGTAACTGAAAACAATGTAATTCCTAACCGGTTAATGCAACAGTTTTGTTAAACCCCTTGAATTACAGCTGAAAGTCTACACTTCAACCCCATCTTGACCGCTTCATTTCAAATTCATTGTGACGTTGTACATTGTGATGGTGTACTGTCCAAATACTTATGAACCAAGGTACATACACTTTACGGCCAGTATACGGTCCCCTGCTTAATGTGTCCAGGTATTTCAGACACACCCAGTGTTTACAAGGGGCAGTCATGGGCTGGAGGTTAAGGAACCAGCCTTGTGACCGGAAAGTCGCCGGTTCGATCCCCTCAGCTGACAGTACGTGACTGAAGTGCCCTTGAGCAAGGCACCTAACCCCCAGCTGCTCCCCGGGCGACAAAATCATGTAAAAATCATATATCCTCTCTTCCATCGCTCACTACAGAGTTCCAAACTGCCTCTGGAAGCAACATCAGCAGAAGAACATTGTGTTGGTAGCTTCTTAAAATGGGTCTCCAAGGCTGAGCAGCTGCATCACTACATGCAATGCCAAGATCAGCTGGAGTGGTGTGAAGCATGCTGCCACAGGACACAGAAGTGACAACAAGTTCACCAGAGTGATGAATCACGCTTCACTGTCTGGCAGTCTGAAGGACAAACCTGGGTTTGGCAGTTACCAGGAGAACGCTATAAGTTTGAAGGAGGTGTAATGGTCTGGGGCTGTTTTTCAGGGTTTGGAATCAGCCACTTTAGGTACAGTGAAGGGTTATGCTAGCGCTGCAGCATACAAAGCAGACAATTAAATGCTTCCATTCTTGTTACCAACAGAGTATACTCTCAATACTGTAGGATGTAATTCTTTATTACTGCAGTTTTAAGAACTGGCCTGTAAGTTGTAGTGATTCTTGCTGAGACTTTTAAATGTTCTCCAGGCTCTATCAGCCAAGGCATGTTTGTGAGGTTACCTTGTCGTCATGGCGGTGGGCAGGAGGGCTGTCTAAAGTGATGAGTTTCTTCAGGTCCTCCTCAACAGTGGATTTGCCGAGGGGTTGAGGAGAATGCAGGTCTCGGAGAGAAGGCCGAGGCTGAGACGGCCCACCATCTGGCCCCTCACCCTGTGGCCTCCTAGGAAACAGGCAGTAAATATGGCTTTTAAACTCATATTATGAGAAAGTCCATATGAGAAAATAAAGGAAAACACTAAAAATGCTGCAACAGAGCCTAATAAACATAAGCCAATACATGTACACTAGGGTGCATTCACTTCAACAATCATTTCATGACAAGACAATATATGAAAAACTGTATTTGATGTAAACATGAATGTTTCATTTCCAGCACTGGTAAAATTTACATTTCTAAAAATTCTACCATGATAATGAGACTGCACAAATTCTGCCAGTATGCCCTTGCACTGTCATACCCATATTTAACCATCAGGAGGTGATAGTGTTTAGCAAAACAAAGGAAAATGCACCGCAGGAACAGAGACTCTTCTCATGTAACTTGCTAATTTAGTTTTACCACTCAAAATATTAAATCATAAGCACAAGCTGAGCTAGATCATAAAGATAAACTACCTCTCACAACACACTAGTGGCCCCCTAAATTCTTATCCCCAAATTTGGACTGTGCACATCAGTGCTATCTTCGCTCATGCAAAGCAATTAGCTTCAACTAGTTTATTAACAAAAAAAAACCTGTTAAAGGGGCCCCATCCTACCTGACCATTTCCAACCTCTGTTTATGCCATAGAATTAAACAGGGTGTTTTTTGTTGCTAAGCTTTGCAGACTGATATATATAAATGACCTCTGTTTTTGTTTGTTTTGAAACTCTAAACAGTGTTTACATACTGCATCAAAGTCTTTTATTCAAAAATATCAAAAATCCGGTTTTGTTGGTATGGGTCCTTTAGAAGTACATATTGTGCCTGTAGGTTACAGCAATTCTTAAGTATTGCTTGCATTAGATAGATACAGTTTATTATACACACAGCTTATGGAGTCATCCTTACTTGCGTGTGTCTCCAAAGTCCACAGAGTTGATGGTGCTGCCAGGCTTCCTCCAGCCGATCAGATACTTGCTAGTGGCTCCCTGGCGTGGGTAGAAGCTCTTGGGGCCTGGGGAGACGGAGCTTTGGGAGGAGGAAGGTGAAGTGGCTGAGGGTGACTCGTCTCGTGGAGAGCTGTGGCTGGAGCTGAGCACAGCGGGGCTCACAGAGTGACGAGAGCTGAGTGGAAAAGTGTACAGAACAAGGAGGACTGAAAGACCACTGTGGCACTTTGGAATATAAAAATATATACTGTATCTTCAGAATTATGGCATGTTGTTTGTCTAGTGAAGTCTCTTAAATTCTGCTGTCCATGGTGCAAAAGCAAAGCTTCCAATGAGGAACTAGATTTTCAGGAAAAAATACGAAAAACTCATTTGATGTAAAAATTCACAAAACCTCTTTTCTTTACAATTGATAACAATGACAAATGCATTGATATATTGTAGCTATTTTTCTAGTATCTCTCAACTCTCTGTGCTGTACAGAAAGTATGTTTCCTGCTCTAACACACTTAAGCCAAATCATTAGCTACTTACAAACCACTTCTTGAGGTGACTCAGGTATATAGCAGGAAACACACTACAAAACTATGGTGTGGAGTCATTAACATAGTCAACACACATTACACAAGACTGAGCATAGGCATAGAACCACAGACCATGTCAGGAAATAAGCAGGTAACACTGCATCTCAAGTTAAGTGAAATGTTGACATTTAAGCAAAATAATATAAGGAAATATTAAAAGATATCAAATGCGCGAGTCAAGCAACTCTGTATTATTGTTCTGTAGTAGGCAAACTTGGAAGCTAAGTAAGATGTTGAAACACTATACATTTAAATAGGCAAATATTTGAGTGGAGAAAATATTTAAAACGCCCATGTGTAGTTAAATACAGTACTAACATAACTGAACATGAACATATGTGAATACCTGGAGTGGGAGGCCATGTCGCTGAGGCTGTAGGTGCTACCATCCCTCACCAGCAGATGTGTTGGGGGGCTGCGAGTGGCTGGCGCCTCTGCAGGAGACACAGGTGATTCCGCAGCTGGAGGAGATCTCTCTAAAACGCGCCGACCGCCCTCTGAAGGACCATGCCAGGGTGAGGAAGCTCTCTCCCGGGGTGCAGGTGCACCCACGGCCAGCAGGGAGCTGGAGCTGCCATGAGGAGGCCCGTAGGATGTGGTGTCAATGCCGCTATCAGCCGAAGCCCCCTGCAGGTAGCCACCCCCGCCCAGACCGTTCGGTTCTGAGTCGGCCCCATCTCCTGGCCCTCCTCCTCCAAGATCATACCACTTCTCATCACTGTGACCGCCACTGGATGCTGTACTGGATAAAGTGTTGCTGCTGGAGTGGGAGCATGGGCCCTCAGACTGAGAAGGGAAAAAAGGAAACAAAGAAAAAGAAAAATTACACTTCATTGTTTATACATACACTACTGTTTAAATGGTACTACCCGTCAGATTAATAATTGTTGCTTTTTTATTCTTATTCTTATTTTTATTTTTATTATAGAGAAGTTGTTACGTAATAAACAGTACTAGCACTACTAATAATAAAAAATGATATTACTAATAAATACTAATGTAATTTCTTCTTAAGCTATCTGCAATGAGATTTGATCACTTGAAATACAAGACATTCTGTATGTTAATTTTGTTAGAACTTCATTCTTGCTGTGCTTATCAAAACCTCTGTTCATCACTCTGGACACATCTAAAATTGCTTTATTTTTATGAAGTTATAGAGCACTAGCATCACAGTAGGATCTATTTATGTAAGTATCTGCATTAACATTGGTTTTTATTTTACAGGGATTCAAAAGTTTTGGATGGCCCTTTTTTGGGAAGTGTCTTTGTGGGAACTGATTACAAAATGAGAAGTGGCACATCAACATTTCTCTGAGGTTCAGACATCAATAATTCACCGTCAGAAGCTATTTAAATGGAGAATTACAAGGCTGCAGACTGATGAAGACTAGAGCAGAGTGTCTCCACCCACCTGGCTGCTCTTCTTCGGGGAGAGGTGAATGACCTGCTCCTGCCGCTGGATGCGTGGGCCGCCTGAATAGGAAGGTCCAGGCTTAGCAACTGGAGCATCTGCAGAACATAGAGAGAAAAAATGATTACTATCCAATACATGCTATAGAACAGCATATTCAGTGGGTGCTTAATTGACAAAAAACTGCTGATGAAAAAGAGAACAAAACAGCGGGGAGGAAAAAAAGGACACTTGAGAAACACTTGAGACTCATTATACCAGGCAATGTCATCAACACAACACACCCCCACACACAAACGCCTAAGAGCTGACACTTCCATTACCCCTCTCATTACTAAATATCCCTATATTCAACCCTGTCACATTAGATTCCACTTACAAAGAAGTTCAATAAAGCTGACCATGGAAGCTCAGTGTGATCAGGCCCAGCTTCTTCATGACAGTATATTCTGTGTAAATGAAACTATTGTGTAATTGCTGAGGTGTTACATAACGGCCAGCATCACAAAAATAGATGGCACAAGCAATTAGGGAACAGTTTTCAGAAGGAGAAGGAATCTGAAAGGGTGAGAGAGAAAGAGCGAGGGTGAGAAAGAAAAGGCAAGCGTGAGAGGAAGAGCTAGAGCTAGATAGAGAATGAGCTAGAGAGAGAATGAGCTAGAGAGAGAGAAAGAGAGATGGAAGTGAAGAGGCATCTGCAAGCTTTCCACCAGGTGCTACTGGTAGGATCTCTAGCCTTAGAATGATATAAACCAACCAGTGAAGTGCATGTATACATACAAGGTAGCCCTTAAGTAAGTGGATGGGCAAAAATGTAACATACTTTGATGTAAAATACTTCAACACATTATGTATCACTAAAACAAACAAAAAAAACAAGTGGTGCCACATTTCTATTCAATTTTGTTTGTAATGAAATCTGTAGTTGATTAGTTTTTAAGCACTTACAACATCCACTATACACTAACAAAAGAATATTATTATTCAACTTATCACAATAACAGTAAATATCATCATATTGCCCATATTACCCCAATTGTATCTCAACATTAGTCATTGTTTCAACCGAAAATCCACTACGTTAAAGTACAAAACACTTCAGTGTTAGTTTGGCAAAAAATTAAATTCGTAATTTACCTCCTCACTCCAAACATTCAATTAGTCAAGACATGGTCAGTGTCTGAAGTTTGCTTCTTTAGTTGTGCACTAGAACTATGAGGCTAATATAATATAAGTTTCACCCAACAATTATTTTTATTTGGCAAATGTAACAGATTACCATTAGCTACTTTAGGCACAGCCCCACTGCACACCTGAAGAAGAAAACTTCAGGCACCACATATGTCATTGCTGATCTACCGTGCTTGTGCTCTATCGGTAAACCATTCCTTTAATTGGAGGGCATGTAACATTTTGGCTCTTCACTTGATAAAGTGAAGGCAGAAAGACTCAAAGAAGCAGAAAGAAGCAGAAATTGCATTATAGATTTGGTAGAGAACCACTAGAGAATTTTGTGCATAGTACAAACCAGGTAGATGTAGTCTCAATGTCTACATCAGCAGATACATATATGAAAAACATAGTAAACTGGCATCAGTCAGCACTTCCTGTATCTTCATATATACAGCACTGTGCAAGTCTTACACATGTAAACAAATTGTTTAAAACCATTTATCTGGACAGTAAGTGTGCTTCTGCTTGTAAAACCATTATGCAACATTAAAATAAATGCAAACAAACAGCAATACAGTACAAAGTAGCCAGAACGTTTTGTTTTTTAAAAAAAGTAGTTGAGTTTAAATAAGTTTAGTTCCAGATATCTCCTCAATGTCCTCAGCCATCGCATGATTCATTTAATGTAGGACTGATTAGATTAACTAGGTACTGGATGGTAACCATAAACACTGGGCTTCCTTGAGGAGAGATTTGCAAATGGGTAAATGAAAACATTGCCATTCATAAAATAGATATTTGAAATATATTATATTTAATATTATTTGCAATATTAGTGTTTTATCTGAGCAAAAAGTGGTTACTGCCCAGACAAACAGTATTTTTAAAAATGATTTTCTCAGGTGCCTACCTGATTTTTGCAAAGTACTGTACATACAGACTTTGCTCAGAACATTAAGCTGACAACCTGCACTTTAGCCCTATAGTCAGTTTTTCATTTCAAATCCAATGTGATAGAACAGAGCAAGAAAAAGTGTGTCACTGCCCAATCACCTACTGCCCGCACAGTGAGTCATTTACAAAAATGCACTTCTGTCTGTGGATAAACAAAATCTGTACAGTACAGTTCATGTACACAAATACACACACACTTCATTTTTCTCAATTGCGATTGTGGTACCAAGGAGGGTCCTTTTCCTGTATGCACATCCGCAAACCTGCATGGCATTCTGAATGGCACAGAGGGGGGTATTTCCTTCAGTCCTGAGTGAAAAGCATTTCCTTCCCATTCTCAGCACTTTGCTTCCTGCCTGTGTCCCTCCTTGGGGTGGAACACTTTGTCACCATGCTAAGGAAATTATTACTAAGAATAAAGCGATTACAAATTACAACAGTAAACCCTTTTACATTACTGAATACACAATCACAGTGAGCTAGTCTGACTACCTTACCATTTAATTTGTTTCCATTGAAATGCCGTTTAATGTAGTGTCATGCAGCATCTATAATTTCCATCCAATGACAGCCTTCCAAGTACAAATCTGCCCTAAAGTAAACCCTTGTGTACTGGCATTTTTCCTGGAAGCTATTTTGAATATATATCTGAGGCAGGTCAAAAATCGAGCACCGGTCTTTCGTGACCTGAACGGACGTCCACAATTATGAGAGAGGAGAATAATTCTAGGCTGCAGCAACCCATTCAGTGTACAGGCAGCACAGTCTATTGCACAGACTGGTCGGGATGTGTTTAATGTGGGCTGCACCCTGTTATTACTGGCCAAGGCTGAGAGAGAAAGAGCAGGACATGTGAGGAAACTAAAAGGGGTCAAAGTAAGAACAGAGGTGGGCAACTCAACCACCAGAACCACCCACATCCTTAGAATGAAATGGTAACAAAGAAAAATACCAGAGAGACAGAGAGAAGGGTGAGGCCAAGCCAAGTCATTTCAGCCAACCAAGAAGGAATGAAAGAATGGGAGGATTCCTGTCAAACACAGGAGACATGCGGTGATGTCCAGGAATGAAGAGAAGAAGGGGAAAAAGAAAAAAAAAAATGAAAGGGGAGCAGCGTGAAGTCGTAAGAGTAAGATCTTGAGTGAGAGAGAAATCTGGAGAGAGAAGGGGGGGATGGAGCGATAGAGAAACAGAGTGAGAGAAAGAGACGGAAGAGAAAGTGTAAGAGAGAAACAGAGAGAGAGAGAGAGAGAGAGAGAGAGAGAGAGAGAGAGAGAGAGAAAGAGAAAGAGAAACACAGAGAGAGAGAGAGAAAGAGAAAGAGAAACACAGAGAGAGAGAGAGAGAAACAGAGAGAAAAACCGGGAGAGAGAGAGAGAGAGAAACCGAGAGAGAGAGAGAGAGAGAGAGAGAGAGAGAGAGAGAGAGAAATCGAGAGAGAGAGAGAGAGAGAGAAATCGAGAGAAAGCAAGAGAGAGAAACCAAGAGAGAGAGAGAGAAAGAGAGAGTGGGGTTGTTACAGAAACACAAAGTTCTGCTTACACAACTGTACCGACAGCAAAATGGAGATATTTACGTACTTTATGATTCTGCAGTACGACAGCACTTTAGTGTTCCACCTTTCACTCGATACAGGTTAGTGTCAAAGACTATCCTTCCATCTGTCCATCCTACATCCTCTACCGCTGTCCAGAGCTATACCAGTAACTGATACCTTCTCATCTGAGACTGACAGTATGCATGACTTATAATATTTTGCAGTAGTGTCTACCAGTTGTAGATGTAAGTATATGGGAAGCACAAGACAAATGATTTGAGAAATTAGGATGTGATACAACATTCAGCATCATTTTGCTGAGCCCAGAGCAGCTGCTGTGTCCTTACACAGTCTTACACACTTCTACTGCACCATAGGTTTATCTATATATTGTTCAGTTCTATTTTTACCATTTTGAGCAATAAATTAATTCATATGTGACATATGGTTCTAATTAAAAGTAAAGGGACATTCTGGAATAATTAGCAGCATCTATAATTCTTTTGCATAATTTTAATAATTTTATGATGAACTCACCAACAGAAACGGTCCAAAACTGATCAGACAAAAATCTTGTTATATTGACTTTTATTACACATTAGGAATGTTTTTCCTTCTCTAGTAAAGTTGCCATTTTGAAGATAACAGTGACGATACACACTCCTGTGAAAGAAAAAAAAAAATGGTCCAAGCCCAAAACAATGTTTTTTTACTGATGGGTTTGGCCTGGTCAGAGTCCAGATTTAAATCCTGTAGAGAACATTTGGTCTCACAAACACAAAACTAGCTTGGCAATGATTGTCAACTGTTTGAAGCCATCAGTGCTGAGGGCAAAAATACTGACTCTTCTGTAAAAAGATGGTTTTCTGCAAGTTTACCCACAAGAGTTCAACATCTAAAGAAAGCAAAGGGAAAATCTATCCTACACCAAGTTACTTTATCTATTTGTTTAAAGATTTGTTGTTAGATACCGATACATTCACTGCTTATGGTAAGTGGCTCTGGATAACAGCATCTAGTAAACAATGTAAATTGTTTAAATAAATACACTGACACAACAAAGTCATGGGATAGCAGTATGTAAATTGATTATGAAGTGGCGTTACCTTGGGGGACAGCTAGGGAACGGCCACACAGGAAAGTTGTGAGGTGTTATCTTGTGAGTAAAGATGAATACTGGCCAATGTGCTAAAGGCAAGGTGACATGAATTATCGCAGTTCAAATGAGGCATGATAGTTGGCACCAGACGGATGGGGAAATTCCATTTCCGAAGTTGTGCAGACATTTAATATTTAATCCACAGTGTCACTTGTGTCCTGGGATTATATCATAGAAGGCACTACCACTCAGTGGACAGCGCAATGGCCCCATTGCGCTGCTTAACAAATCGTGACCGGCGGTGTCTGGCTAGAGCTGTCCATGCAAACAGACAACTGACTCTGGCAGAAATCACATCCACACTCAATACAGGAGGCCGCACACGCATAGCCTGCAGGTCAGTGCAGCAGTTCCATGGGACATGCGAGCAGAAGACCCAAGAGAGTGCCTCTTAACACAGCACCTCACCTGGGCTCATGAGGTTGCTAACCGGACCCTAGAGGATTGGCAACATGTGGCGTCATCCGATGAGTCAGAGTAACAACTGTTTCGGGCTGATGGTAGGGTTCATGTGTGGCGCAGACCCCATTAAACCATGGACTCCAGCTGTCAACAAAGCTCTGTGCAAGCTGGTGGTGGTTCCATATTGGTGTTGGGTGTATTCTCATGGCATGCATTGGGTCCACTAGACAGTCAGAACTCTCCTAGAGAGTTCCGACAAATTGTGTGGCCTGCACATTCTCCAGACATGAGCCCAATTAATTATTTGTGGGATTGTGGTGGAGAGATCCATTCGCACCCGAGATTCTGCACCTACAAATACCACGGAGCTGTGGGCGGCTATCCAGACGACATGGCTTAACGCTCCTTCAGACATCTTCTGTCCAATTGTGGAACTTATGCTACGTTGAGTTGCTAAACTTCATAGGGCTAAAGGGGTCCTACACAACACTAATTCCTGCTTCATGACTTTTGGTATGTCAGCGTAATGTAAATGTAGGGGTGGCCAAAATGGCACAAATATAAATGATGTGCATCATGATATTTCTGTTTTTCTGAGCTTTTTAAAGTCGGAACAGACAAAAATGTACCAGCAATATCACATTTATAAAAGAAAATAAAAACAAGACTAATTATGCTCTGTGAATAATAAAACTGCAGTTAGTTAGTATTCTTTAAGTACTGAGGATATCCACAATTCACTCTGAAAGCTTAGTGTAATGTAATTTATCACATTAACGATAAAAATACTCACATTGCCCATCCCTATGTAAATGTTTACAATAACTGTCTTATCTGATTTAGTTATGTCATGGCAATATAAAATGAGCCAGTAATCAAAGAGCAACAAGGTAACCATTTACTTAGAACGAGAGCAAGAGAGCGAGAGATGAAGACTGACATAAATTGAGCTGAGAGGCTGTCAAACACAAGCACAGGGCAACAGCGGTAGGAGACTGCCAAGGCCAGCTGGACAAAGAGAACATTCTACTGTCTACAACGTACACATTCACCTTAAATTTACCCTATAATCGTTCTTCTATTTTATTCATTTCCCTGAGGTCAACTTAGAACTTTTGTGTGGCTTTATGTACCAAAAATTATCAGAATTAATTTTCATATGAATCAGTGAACACACAGTCAGTGAATTCAAGAAGGGCTGTTTTGCAGCTTCATTTCTGCATTTTGACCATAAAGAATAGCATAGACAATATAGAGAATGATACGATTTAAAACTATGTTCACATACTACAATAACCTCTTAATTTTAAAAGGGCCATCTTCTACAGTTTTTCTTGCAGTTTACCTACATAGATTTTACATAGATATATGTAAATGTATTAGTTTTGTGACATCACAAACACTGAATTCAAAAGCAGCTTAGTTTCTACATATGGACTGTAAGGACTGAGGATTTGTTTTAAAAAAGATTCAGTTTTCTATGATATAGGCCCTTTAAGAAAGTACACAGAGGTGTGTGTGTGTGTATTCTGGCTTCCATATTCTGTGTGCTCAGAATAATACACTGTTTATTCTTAGCCATGTGTGGGAGAGAACGTGTGCTGAGATTCAAATCCACGGCTGAGAGATCACAGGTTAGTCTGCTTAGTGCACAGACGGGCTTCAGAAGGTAAAAGAACCCACACAGCTTTAGGGGTCAAAGCAATCCTTCATTTCCACTCCCCTTCAATTACAGCAATTACTGCACACTGGACAAAAAACAACGAAGAACTGGTTCTCAAAGGCACTGAGCTGTGCTTAAGGAAATAATGCTGGCTCTTGGCTGGATGAAGCTCCATGGAGACAGTTCATTAGCATGCAATTTCCTTTTCATATGGTGTTCCTGAGGAGCGGCGTGAACGTCTCCACACACACAGCTGCGTTTCGCTGCTAGAGCTGCCTGACTGTGGGAGGCCGAGAGGCAAAGATACAGCACCAGCATTAATATTTTTCTTTTGGTCCTTCATTGATAATCTGAGATGTGGTGAAAAGAGGTTCTAGTTCTGTTTTGGCTTTTGGTAACTTTTCTTATAAACATGTTTACCCATTCATAGGCTTTCATCATCATCATTTTTCCCTTTCCTGCCTGTACTTCTTATTTCCTTCCATTCATTGAAATAGGCATTCTCCTCATTAACTAATTCACCCAGTCCATCCTTTTTCGCTTAGTCACTAACTCGCTCACTCATTCTTTCACTCTGACTCCCCCAGTCGATGGTTAATCAGTGATTAATGGGCAGTGGGCTGACCTGCTGCTGCTCTGTCCGAGTCGTCCACCCTGGGCCAGCTAGGGGTCGACTTGCCGCTGCTGCCCCCCTCACCCATCATCTGCCGCTCCGGTGGGAGAGGAGAGTGTCTGTTCGGCCCAAATCTGCAACACACAGATTACAACAATTCACACTACAGATTACACAAAGTCTAAAAGTCAGAGATCCTTGTTTGTCATTTACAGTCAAAATGGCCTCTAAGTACAAGTCAGTCATACTTCAGCATCAGGAAAACAGTAGAAAACAATTACCAGAAAATTACACAGAAGCCTAAACAACTAAATTTATACATTTTTGCAGTATTAAGTGTGTTCACTCTATGCTTTTACTACAGCTTCCTATTCTTTTCAGTAGCCTTGCAGTTTTTCAAAGAAATCTGCAGGGATATTTTTCCAGACCTCCGAAGTTCAGTCTTAGAACTTGGTCGCATTTTCTGCTTCTCACGATCCAAGAAATCCTAAACACATTCAATGATACTGAGGTCTGGACTCTGGGGAGGCAGAGTTCTTGTTCTGAGAACACCAGCCGCTTTTCTGTTAGATTTGCAATTTTTTGGTCTATTTCCATTCTCAATAATGGCTTCTAAACAGTTACACGTCCTTTCAGACCCATGGTAATGACTTGTCTTCTCACAGTGAAAGGATGGACAGAAACACCTGTGGATTTTTTCAGATCTAAAGTCATAGTGGAGCTTGATTTTTTCCTATCTCTCTCTCAAAGATGACAGCCTAAAGTACTGTTTATCTGACAGGGACAGTTTTGGTGGTCTACCAGGTCTTTCATGGTTGTTAGAAGTCACATTTTCTCTCCATTTTCAAGTCCATTTTTGGAAGTGAATTATCTTATATCTAATCTCCTCAGAAATATCTCCTATAGAGAGAATAACTTGCACTTAATTGCCGTTTTATCTGGAAATTAATGAAAGGTAGTCTCTGACGTTTGCATAGTACTACTTAACAAGCAGTAACAAGCAGAGAAATTCAGTAAAGTAGCAGATTCCTAACTTTCAATCAATATCACATTTGTAATTTTAAGACTGATGGTTTTTAGAGTGATTTAGTATGATTTGAAACTGACAGTTATTATTTAGTAGTATTCTTTTACAGAAAGTAAAAACTTTGCCATGTTTGTAAATTTTTTAACATCAAAACAAATGAAATAATCACCAGTAAACAATCAAATCAGTCAATGCAAATCAAACATAAATGCGATTCACTACGTAAGTATGTAAATAAACAGTACAGTAAAAAGGACAATAATAACCAGACGTCCAAGGGTAAGCATGGATAACCCAGTCGATCAATCATTGGGTGAATAAACCATGACAAAAGGGAGGATACAGTGATGGCTCAACACAAAGTAATACAGGAATTTTGGGGGAGGGCACGGAAGGACAGAGCAGAAATGTAGAGAAAGAGGGTGCTGCTGTAGCTCAGAGAGGCTCACCCCTCAGGCATGGACTTTTGCCTCCAGTGGGCGGAACCACCCGAGCCTGTATCACTGGAGCAGGAGAGGTTGCTGGGGGAGCTGCGGTTGTGAGGGGAACGGCTCATCACGATAGAGGAGGCCAGCGAGTAGTTCTCCGAGCCCGGAGACATCCTGAGAGACAGATAAAGAGAGATACACAAAGAAAAGAGACAGAAAGGAGGAGTAGGAAACACGTAAACAAGAGGATATGTTGGGACATTACAAGAAACGGAAAAAGAGCACAGTAGGGCAAAAAAACAAAAACAAAACAAAAAAACAAAACAAAACAAAAAAGAAACGGGGATGGTTTGACAACTTGTCAAGCCCCACCATCTCATAATTCCACTGGGGCTTTACAAACCTCTTGGAGTCCAAAGGCCGTCCGTCACTGGACACACTGCGGGGGATAGCAGCGGCCCTCTCTGGGCGCTCAGCAGATAGTGTCTTGCCCATGCTGGCCCCCAGGCTGACAGCGCGGTTGGGGGTGCCACTGTGGCTCTGGGGTGAGGCGGTAAGGGACTGCTGGGGGCTGGAGGATGTGCGCTGCCATTTGTTGTTGTTGCTGCGGAAAGGAAACTTGTACTCGAAGGAACCGCTGTCACCGCTTCCCTTATACTCTCCCACCGGCATGCGGTACAGCTCCGAACAGCCCCTACATGTTAAAGCCAGATTAGACATGGACAGGAGGAGTGATATTATACTGCTGAGCAGGCAATCTAACCATCATCAATGTTAAAGGAACTATTCCTCAGCAAAAAGGCTCATTTGCACATTTTTTCCCTTACTTTAAATGTCAATTAGGAAATTTTAATATCCAAAGTCTGCTTCTTACACATTCAAAGCCTGCTTCTTCTTCTTTTACACTGGTGCTACATGGCTAATGTATCTAACAAATAATGGAAGCTTACATCCACCAATTAGCACTGTGCAAACTGCATGGCTAAATCATCACATATTTGCCTCAAAACTGTAGCTGCTAAAGGGAATCACTGCTGTTCTACGGAGTAGAATCCAAATACTGCACAAAACTGGTTCAAAGTGCCCCAGCAGATTCTACCAAAAATAAATTAAGAAAAAAAAAAAAATCACATATTTATTTCCTACTGGAGTCTCTATAAGCCTTATCTAAAACACTAGAATTTCCACAGTGCAATGTGGTAAAAAGCTACTCTCATGGGTGTGTTTTCCTGCAGGCTGATACTAGAAACAGAAAGTGAGTTTGTTTTGAGTTCTTCATAATTATGAGCCCTTTTTTGAGTCCTTGATAATTATGCACTATTAACGAAAACAATCCGGACAATTTGTTCTGTGTGCAAAATTTAGAAAAAAGTGCAAGTGAGGAGTGTCATCTCTCATTATATACCAACAGACAATTAAAAAGCAAAATAAAACAGAGGATCAAATATGAGAGTATGCGATCAACATTTCAGTCCATAGGACCTTGAATGTGACGTGCAAGCACAGTAACAAAGTAACAAAGTAACAAAGTAAAAGAAACTGCCTTTCCAGAATGTGTAGGAGTCATTAGTACATGCCTCCCATTATCACCTCAAAAAGTCCAAGTCTGAGAGTCTGAGGTGAGCGCTGCTTTTCTGCTAACTGTTGCACCTGGCTAACGTTCTCAGCAGTAAATCAAATTTTCCTTGAAATTTAGAGATATGATCATCTCTGTGTACGTTACCTGCATTTCATGGATGAGTAAAGTTTGTGTGAGCAGCATATGCCCTCCACATATACTGGTACCCCTGGTAATCTTGAGCAAAATGAGGTACACAAAATATATCTTTCATTCAAAATATCAGCAAAAATCGTATTTAAAGTATAATGATTGAAAGAACAAAACTAAATCTAGTCATGAAAATAATATTTTTCTTAAATCTGTGTGTGCCACAGTTACCCGTAGAGATTCTTAAGAGTAAAATCTAACTGAAGTTCACGTTTTGTTTTAAAGTTCCGACTCATTGGAAGCACTTAAATGGTCAGCCATGACTTCCTGTTTCACTGGGGCATAAATATCAGATGAAACACAGGCCAAATTCCCTCAGTTATCCATCACTATGAGAAAGACCAGATAAACAGCAATGATGTACAACAAAAGGTGGCTACAAGAAAATAGCTAAACAGCTGAAAATTTCTACTTTCAGATCAATAATAAAGAAGTTTAAAACAACTGGAGATGTTAATAATCTGTCAGGAAGAGGACGTATGTCTATACTGACCCCACTTACAATGAGGAGGGTGGTTAGAGTGGACAAAAAATCTCGAATGATCACAACTGGAAAATTTGGGGTTAGAACGTGTCCCACACCAAAGCCAAACACCATGTATGAAACCACAAATTGTTTGGGGGGGTTGCCAGAAAAAAGCCTCTGCTGTCAAGGACCAACAAACTCAAAACCTGGGGGATGAGCTGAAGAGGACACAGTGTGGACCTCAGAATCTGAAGGATCTAGAGAGGTTCTGTATTGAGAAATGGACTCAGATCCTTTGCCATGCGTTCTCCTGTCTCATTAAGCATTATATGAGAAGACTCAGAGCTGTTATCTTTGCAAAGGAAGGCTGCATAAAGGATTAAATGAAGGTGTGCCAACAATCGTGCCAAATAGATTTGAAAAAAATACTTATTTCGTAAAAGGTTAGATTTTTTTTATATTATTTTGGATGAAAGTTTAAAAAAAGACAAGCAATAATGTTTTTAAGTCCTGTTTTTGCTCATGTTTACCAGGGGTGCCAATATTTGTGGAGGGCACTGTACTCATTTAAACCCTGAAGCCGAGACCTGGCAAAAGAAATAAGATGTTCTAATACATTCTGCAGGGTTGGATTTGCTACATTTTCCTGGGTTTGATAAGGTTTTGTAGCTCTTTATTGTGGCTCCAATATGTTTAGTCAGACTTCTGTATGCGCCCACAAGGCTGTTATTGTCAAAAAATTATTCTTCAACACTTCCGTGTGTGGCAGCGCTCACAGCAGCTAGTTTGTTTACAATCTGAGTATGTGAATGCATCTGTCTGTCCGCCTCCCTGAAAGATCAATTGACATTTGGCTGCAAGTTACTACTCCTGCGTGAACACCTTTCACCCTGCCTCTTGTAGTTTGAAGGTGAAGTGTTTTGGCTCTTGTGACATCAAGTGTCACAATTTGACCATAAGAAAAAGCTCATGGGGTGCACTGAAGTTGTTTTCATGTTCTGGTGACAAGGACATGAATTTTGATTTGTAAATCCGTGAACTATCCATTTAAGTAATCAGAAACAGACTTGCTTATGTGGTCTGTCACTAATTGACAAACTGGTGTCTATACAAAACGGACACATGTACTTACAAGCTTCAAGATCCCTGCTACTAAACATTTTAGCTCTGTCACATATTCCTGTCCACATAAGGTTCCATTATTGTTAGCTTTCTTGGCCTAGTATAGACGACTTCAAATCTGGACCCTGATTCCAGTTTAAGGTCCTGGCTTATGTAATCAATGATAATGAATACAAAATCCTGGACCAGAAACTTGATTTAAAAGTCCAGATTTGAGGACCTCTGTTCTAGAAGCTCTAGTGAATGTCTTGGCTGATTTTAGTTTAACATCTTAAAATTCCAGGCTTATTACATACTAAGGCTTATTTTATCAGTAACTATAGAGATTCCAATGCAAACTGGCAGAGCTAGTCTTACATTATAGAAGTGTGTAATAAAACTTTGGGCCTGCCGGTGGGCCCTGGCCATTTAAGGGGTTAGGCCAAACTATTGCTTTAACATCACACTGAAGCATGCTAGAAGAGGGCTGCCCCCTCATACCATACCTTCGAGGTGTGGAATCCTCATGAGGTGGAATGATCACCACCTTCACGGTGACGGAGGTCCGCAACAGGTCAATCATCTGTTCATGGGAGAGCGTTGCCACGGCCACCTTGCAAATCTCCACCAGTCGGCTGCCCTGGCGCAGGCCTGCTTGCCAGGCATATCCATAGGGCTCCACCTCGGCCACAATGCCCTCATAGTTGACGTGGAAGCCCAGCTGACCCAGGCCGTTTCTGCGAAGGGTCATCTCAGTGGTCTCACAGCCTTTAGTCAGGTGCTGAGGTACAAGGACGTATAGAATATAAGATCAAGTATGCGCCTTCTGGAGTTGCATATAAATAAAACTAAGATCACCAGCATTACATGAACACATACATATACACAGTGACTATTTGGCATTTTGTGCTGAATAAGAATACAACTGCTGTTTTCTTTACAACTTTGTCAGACAGCCGAGGTAAGACATGCACTAACGCTAGCTTGGTTGTACATCAGTGGTTGGTATACATATACCACAATCAGATCTCCGATAGAGATGCATGTTCCAGGGACAGATCTTTGTTCTCTCTGTAAGGCTTTTGTAAACTGAACAAAACACTGCATCATGTGGGCCTACAATCTTGCACAAGCCATTTTAAACAGTATAAAAAGATATCTGGTTACATGTGATTACCCAGTTTTACACATAACATTAGTGATGAAGTAAAATGACACTGTCAGCAGGAAATTCTCTACTCAAAACCATTTGTAGCCAAATGCTAGGACTTATCAGTATCCGGAAAAGCAGGCTTTTGCGTCTCAGCGCTGCGATGGAGACCACGAACATTCAGTTCGCTGAGTAGTTACCATGGTAACAGCTCCTGCACTTGGAGAGTGACATCATGGGCAGGTGGCCAAACAAAAAGTACATTCCAGCCTCCGCACAGTTCTGTGTGAGCCACAAGCCTCTCTTATAGGCCAAGTCCTCGTTAGCGCTAAAACGAATGACTCTCGACAGAATACAATAACGCAACGTAAGGTATGAAGAAAAGGGTAGCTGATTCATATCTGTTGTGGAGGGGGGAATACCAGTGCAAGGTTCTTTTGAACCACAAAACCTGCATGCTCTAGGGATAGAGTAATTCCACATAGAAAGCTTTCCCCAGTCAACGCACCTAGTCTAGGTCTCTAAAGAGACAAATAGATGATGAATTAAATCAGGTGCACTACAGCACAGGAAAACATTAAACTGATCAGTGCTGTGGCACTCCAGGGTCAGAATTTTAAAGCCCTGTAAGTACCACCCACTTGTCCAAATCTTTCAAAACACCACATGCACTACTTCGCTATCAAAGGTTTGGAGACTAGATTTATAACATACATGTATGTTTTCTAACCTTGCTCTTCCTTATTATGGAAAACTATACCTTTTGACATAGTGTGTAAACAAAGAAAGTTAGAAAATATACTGTTAGCATCTCACTCAGACATAGTAAGCAAGCTGCAAAAACAGCTCATTTTGAATACACTGTTTTGTGATGTCACAAAAACCAACATATTTACATACACTACATGGCCAAACACTGCTGTGAGAATCTGATTGCATTCAGCAGCAGAAGCATTAGTAAGATCAGGTTTTCATGTTGGATGATTAGTTCTGCATCACAATTCTCACTCCAAATCATCCCAAAGGTATCGGTTGGTGCTCCATCACTCTAGAGAATGCAGTTCCACTGCTCCACAGCTTGGCCTAGGGTGACCTTAGACTCATATTATCGATAATCGCAATTTTTAACAAGAAAATATTGTGCTAATTATTTTTAGATATCGCCCAGGCCTAAAGCCCAGTGTTGTGAAACAGACTACAAATTTTAGTAAATGGTTGTTTTATGTTAACAAAACCTTTGCAAGTATTTGTTCTTACTAAAAGTGCCCTTATCCTACATTTTCTTTTATTTTACGTTTTTTCTTGGTCCATTTACAACACGTGTGGTTTTATGTACCAAAAAGTCATATTTCATTTTTACATGACATTACAGCCTCTCCATCACTTAATTTAATAGACAGTTTTTGCTGCTGTGCCTTTAAGACTGATGCATGTAAATAACATCTGCTCTAATTGGCTACCCTGTCTTATGCCTCTTTCAATAAGCTGCCTCAGCTGAAACACTCTTTATAACCTCAGCGTCAATCGGTGGGTTAAAAATGCTGTAGGCTGAATATGTGGATATATGTAAATGGACCGTTTCTGTGATGCCACAAAAAACAGTGAATTCAGCTGTGAGGCAATGTATTTATGCACACAAAAATATAGATTCCAGCCACTAAACTCTCGCACCTCCAGGCGTTTGACGACCTCTCTGAAGTCTTCCGTGTTGTTGTTGATGGAACGCAGTGAGATGTTTTCTCCACGCTCATAGAAAATCTTCATGGAGGCGGGGCTTCCCATTGTCCAGCCAATGACGTCCCGTACAGCGCAGTTAAACACCACGGCCTTGGCCTCAGGATCCACCAGAATCAAGAAGTCGTTGGAGATGGCCAGCAAGGCCTCCAGCTCTCCTCCCGCTCCATGGTCCTCTGCATACACGGGCCAGGTGATGGCACCTGGACTGCGCAGCTCAGCCCCGGGGTACGGCCGGCTCTTCTCCTTGCGCTTGTGGGCCAGTGAGATGAATGGGAACTTGCCCGAGGGGTCTATGGGGGTGCTGGTCACGTGGCGCTCGGCCAGGTCTCTCAGGTACTCCTGCCGAGTGCGGGTGGCCATGGCACGGAATTTGTCCGACTTGTGAGCGGCGTTCTCCGCGTTGATGACCTTGGCCAGCAGGAAGTCCCGAAAGACGGTAGATTTGGGAAACTTCACGCCTTCCGGAATGGGCGGCCCAAACGCAGGGACGTCTCTGGAACGAGCCACCGCCACGCTGAGGAAAAAAAAGTTTAAAGACGAGAGAGAGACAGAAGAGAGGGGAAAGAGAGAATTTTAAACAATGAAATATTCAACAAATATAGATCGCATGCTGCCTGCACAAGATAATTGTTGAACCATCACCAAACCATGCTGAAGGGTTTGATGTTTATGGATGAGCAGAACTTTTTCCAGGCAGGATATGGCTGCAGTTTAGAAGAGTGGAGTTCTACCTCTCTTCATGGTCTTCAATATGGATGAAGATAAAAATACCTTCACCTAGGGCAACAACTTTTCTTATTAGAATTTGTGCCAATGAAAAAATATACAGACTGTCAAAAATCCCCTATAAATTGATATACACCAGGAAAATTCTGAATGTTCTTACTTATAAATAAGCTATTGTTCTTTAACAGCACTTGTCGCACAAGGGACATTTTGTGGGAGTAAACTTGGAGAGACTCTGCAGAACTCAGCTTGATTTTTTGTATTCTATATTCCGTTTCTAAAAAGCCTCCCACTCCTTCTCTCTCTCCCTCTCTCTCTCACCTCTCCCCCTCTCCTTTTCCTTTCATTAAGCCTCTGGAATGGACATCTAAAGCTTCCTGTTCTGTCTGGAATGCATGGAACTCATGAGTGGTTGGCCAGGCAGAGCTGTAATGAGGCCTGCTGAAGACTGGCTCTCTTCGCTCTTACAATGACAGAGGCAGGAAAGAGGGGGGAAAAGGAGGTAAAGGACAGATTGGAAACAGGATAGATACACAGGAAGGAATGCGTCTAAGATTCTTCATGAAATGTTTGTGCCAAGCAAAGACCGGCTATAAACACCAAAAAAACAACTGCATGTAGAGCTTAAGGCTGCATTTTGCTATATGCTCAATATGATTACAATGATATAGCTGAGCAAGACTGAACCGGCCCAGTCATCCACTTGACCAGAGTTTATTTTATATTCTGAGATTCTTATCTGAAGCCCTCTGTGAATTCTGAATACTGTAGTTTAAGACTGTGTAATGTTAAATGGACCATTATAAAACTGCAAGGTCCGGTTCTAAAATCCCATTTGATGAGCCATGCAAATCAACTCAATCAAAGGGGAATGTCAACGATTTTTCCCAGTTTCTGCATAATTAAATTGTTAAGAAGTAAAGAAAGCAATTCAGAGTGGTTTGATGTAAAATGTTTAGTATAAGAGAAACATACTCAGAATTGAAAGTCAGAACAAAGTCAGAATTGTTCACAGTGGTGGTGAACCAAACATCTGAAGAATTTAAAGTCACTGAAAGCATCATCATCATCATCATCAATAATAAATAAATTATTTGATGCATTTAATTACATTGTATTGTATTGATTTATAAAAGTAATATACAATTCAAAGCTTGTTTAAGGGTATGTTACTGCACATGGCCTCTGGTGGTTTACTGCTTTATTAACTGATTTAGCCTATTGACCACAGAGGTAACTCAACTGGGATGTAACCCATCAAACAACAGAATCTGATCATTTAGCAATGGACAGGCTACAGGAATTCCAAGAATGAACAGTAGATGAAACTGAAAACTAATTACTCCTACCACTATGCATCTGACAACTGTCATTCACACCTGGATATGTCTGGAGAAATGGCCACACAAAAGTGGATCTTTCCTCTGCTATGCTCTTTTCAATGAACATCAAGTGTTCTAAAACCACACAATGGCTGGAACACAGTCAGTGGTATACAACAACCAAACCAAATGGGTGCCACTCGCTTTCTGAAGGTCAGGAAAAACACAGCACACATTCCACCCAAATAAAATGCACTACTGAGTTGTGTGGGGCGACTGAAAGGGCACTGACTCACGGCAAAGGGGGCTGCTTTATTGTTCTGGCCTGACCCCTATGGCTTAAGTAGAGAGGCAAACTGGATTACATATCTAGAGTATAAATACACAGCGTGTGGGATGCTTTAGCGTCCGGGGTCTACAGCGAACACAGCCCACACAGAAGACAGCTTGGAAATACGCAGATGTAGAAATAGCAAACCAGAGTTTGCATGCTCAACAAGCTTCGTCTCACTTGCGTTTCTTCTGTATAAAGAGGTTAATAGTCTTTGATCGACTCAACATAACCACTCATCACTGACAACCTTCACATTTTCTAACCTTACAACATAATTTTTCTTTCAATCTTTAAACATGTTTTGCATGTGGATTTGATTAAAGTTTGATTAGAACAATTTAAGAATCGCAGTTCAAAGTCACAGTTTAAGGAACAGGCACAGTCCTTAAAACAGCAGGTGCGCACATAAAACATTAACAGCCTCCATAAACACCCCATAAAGCTCTTTAAGTCACTTAAGGAAATACTACTGCACAACAACTAATGACAACTGCAAACGTACCTGCTGAAGCTTCATGCACCTGACAAAGTAGATTAATATTAAAGCTTTCAAAAGTGATCCCCACTGAGGAGAAGACTAAACCTGAAATAAAATGGAGAAGGATTCAGCCCCCAGATTTGATGGGTACACTGGGAGGGGGTGTGGGGAAAGGAGGAGCAACACTAACCATCATATCGAACTGTATGCCATGCTTGGCCCTGTTGAACTCTATTGAGGTGGGTGCAATTGGCAAGAGTGGCTAAGCAGCTCTCCAGTTTGTTGTGTCTCTCTCATTTGGGGCTTTGTTCTGGAGAGCTCGGTTTAGTGCAGGCTTCTGTAACTTCCCAACATCATCTCTGCATGTTCTGTTAACCAATGAGGCTGCCTGCTGGGAACAATTAACACAGCACACAATGAGGCGCATCAGCAATTAAAGCCTCCACAAGATCCACCGAGGCGAAACAGAGAAAGAAGAGAAAAGAGAGAAAGGACAGAAAGGGCTCCCAGGTGGCTGAGGGGGTTGCGTGCTATCACAGAAGTTCAAATCCTGATGATGTCACAGCCATCCACTGCAGAGAGACCAATAAAGCACAACTGGCCACAGCTTACTTCTCTTCTCTTGTCCGTCTACAGTGGTGCTGGCCAATCGTGGGTGTTTCTGTACAAAACTGGGCAGTCAGTGCTTCTCAAGCGCAATCAGCTGCTATCCTACTATGTTGGAGCTTGAAAAATATCCAGCAGCCAGTTTCACATATCTCAGAGAAAAGTAAGGCTTTCTGTCACCAGATGGTTGATAAGATTCAGAGAGTAGGTGGGATTTGGCAATGACTACCATTATGGAGATAATTGAGCAGATAAATTGGACAAAAGGAAAGAAAGAACAGGGGGAAAAAAACAAAAAAAAATTAAAATAGCTTGTCTTTAAGTGTGTAACAAGTTTTGTTTCACTAAACAGATACCTAAACAAACAGAAATTTAAACAAATGAAAACTGAAGTAATCTTTAAGCAAGTAGCAAAGTGCAAAATTACAAACACATCATTTACTACTATGTATTTTACCATTCGTAAAGCACTTTGAATGACAAGAGTGTATGAAAAATGCTATATAAATAAACTTGCCTTGGTATGCAAAGTGCAAAATAAAATTAGTCAAAATAAAAACTGTCAATAATTGTAACACTTGATTGTTAACAAGCAAGCTTAAAATTCAGGACAAAACACATCAAAATATCCATTATAAAACAGATTCTATATTTCAGACAGCAGTTCCAGATTATATAACAATGGGCTGCTGAGAAGTTCTATATTCTTAAGTTCTCAATTTATATTTATCACTCATTACAAGACCAATTTAAAACAAACATATATGCCATGACAGGACTAGCTTTGGCTTCATGTACTTTTATTTGCTAGAAATGAAACGAAATTGAATTACGATTTTAGCAGCATTTGTCGAAAAATTCTTAATTTATGAGTTAACAGTTAATTATTTATATCCCTATGTAATACTTTCACCACTGCAAGCAGTTTAAGGTAAACAGACCTGCAGTTCGTTAATTAAGGATAGTGTTGTTACAATGATATGAATGCGAGTAATCGTGCAGCCCTAAACAAAACAGAGACAGAAGAAGGAATGAGTATGAGAAACTGTAATTCTGGCTTCATTTCCTCTAGTTCCTCCATGACATTTCTACTGAGAGATCTAAAGCAAAAAACACTAACAGAATCTGACAGAGTAGAGCAAGGTCTGTAGAGCCGTGGCCAACTTCAAAACTTAGCGAGAAGGAAATAAACAAGCAACGATTTCCCCCAATTGCCTCGTCTCAATGCACCTTTAAAGAGAGCACGAAGTACAAAATCAACAAACCTTCCAGATAAACAGTCCACAGAGGCAGTGAGTGAAATTAAGCAAGCCTGACATATTTGAAGTGGTTTAGAGTGGAACTCTCCAGGGAAATATACAGTCAGATCACAGCTGAAAGCTCAGCCATGGAGACCAAGAAGAGACACACAGGGGACATGCTGAACGTAGGCTGACCACAAATTGCATAAAAATACACACCATGATCCAAAACAGGGCTCAAGTTGTCCCACTGATGGCACTGTAGCTCTGTTTCCACCCAAGAAACATTTTCTCGAACTCAGAAACTTTTATGCATTTCCACCAGAGATCACTGAACTGCTCTTTTAGTCTTAAAAAGCGGAGGGGCCTACAGACCAACATTATGGAAAAGTACCTTCACCTCAGTAATGAGACTCACCTGTAGCACGTGTTGTCAGAGCAGGGGTTGTGCACCTGCACCACCACAAAGACGTGTTGAAAGTGAGAGCGGATGTTCTTAGGGCTGAAGGCCTTTGCTCCAGGTTCTTGGAACACAATGGTGACAATGTCATTTCCAATGTGTCGCTTCCTTAGCAACTGCAGGGAACAAAACAACCAAGCAAATTATTAATGAGTTCAAACATAACAACTGGAGATTAAGAACATCTGTTTTTTTTTTATTTTCTGAGGGCTCCTTACCTGCTGTTTGTTGTTGGGCGTGTAGGGCAACATAGTAGAGACATGGAACATTATTTCATAGTCTTTGTAAGTGGTATATAAGGAATGTGTGCCAGTTGAGTCCGCTGCAACAGAAACAGCTTAAGTTACAAATAGGATAACTACTCAACCACTGTAAAACTTGTGTTCTTCCCTACAACTCTGATAACCCTAAGTCTGCCATCTGTTTAAGACAGAACAAGCTCTGGCCACTTAGGCTCTGGAGTGAAATACGTTAATATATACATATCCAGAAACATCTTAGTATTTGTGTACTTCATCATAATGAAAAAGGCATGTGCAGTTTGGAATACAAAAATGAAATAAATCATATTATGCTGTCACTTATGTTTCTGACTAAGTGCTTGACCTACAACCACAGTGGAAACACACTGAGCAAAATGGAAACATCTACGTGGGCCTACACTCTATGGAAAGACAGCCAATACACTGCAGGAAGTGGAGGTTATTGCTTTGTAGGCTAACTGGTAGATGTTACGATGCCATAAACCTAAAACAGAAAGTGGAATCACTTAAATCAACCAAAGAATCAGCTATGTATCTCTTGTGCAACCTGTATGAAATTAAATGTTAAAACTTATGTGTTCACATTTAATATGCACAAGTTTCCTACTGGGATATTCTAATACTATTTAAACACAATTTCTTTTTGAATAGCAATATTCCTTATATTAGAGAAACATCACTACCAAAAACAGTCAAAAGTTTTTGGCCAAAAGAGGAAAAAAAGGCTGAAAAATTGTTCCTGGAAGAAAAAAAAAGACAAATTGTGAAAATCTAACAAAAAAACCCAGCTGCGTGGTTTTACAGTTTCAGGGAAATTGGACAACAGATTTATAATCACTGTACATCTCAAGTATCAGGAGAGAGCATAATGCTCAAGAATTAAAATTTAGTGATATGTTAATTGCAGTGCCTACTTGAAAGAAGTTCCATCTTAAATTCTGTGCCATCTTAATTTTAGTACTACTTTAAAGAGAGTTCCACCTTTAATTCTTTGCCTCCTTAAAGTTAGTGCTATGTTAATTGATGTTCCACCTTAAATTCAGTGCTAACTTAAATGCAGTTCCACCTTAATTTCAGTGTCAGTGTAAACTCAGTGCTACCTTAAAAGAAGTTGAAATGGTTAAAATGGTTAAAGTTGAATGGTTGAAGACTGTTTCCAAAATGTTCCTAAGCAGAAGCTGCAGTATCCGTGGTGGATAGTAATTCTTTGCCAGTTGCTACTGTCAATGAAGTTCCACTTTAAATTTTGTACAAACTTAATTTTAGTGCTATGTTATTTGAAGCTCCACCTTAAATTCTGTGCCACCTTAAAGAGAGTTCCAACTGAAATTATGTGCTGCCTTTAAAAAGAAGTTCCACCTTAAATTCTATTCCACCTTAATTTTAGTGCTATGTTAATTTAAGTTCCACCTTAAATTCTGTGCCACCTTAATTTTAGTGCTATCTTATAGGGTTCCACCTTAAATTCTGTGCCACCTTAAATTGAATTCAATGTTAACTGAAGTCGCAAGTTAAATTTTGTGCCACCTTAATTTTAGTTTTACTTTAAAGAGATTTCCACCTTAAGTTCTGCGGCACCTCAAATTTAGTGCTATGCTAATTGCAGTGCCACCTTGAAAGAAGTTCCACCTTAAATTCTGTGCAATCTTAATTTTATTACAATGTTAATTGAAGTTCCACCTTAAAATGTGTGCCATTTTAATTTTAGTTCTACTTTAAAGAGTTCCACCTTAAATTTCCATCTTAAATTCTGTGCCTCCTTAAAGTTAGTGCTATGTTAATTGAAGTTCCACCTTAAATTCATTGCTAATTTAAATGCAGTTCCACCTTAATTACAGTGTCAGTGTAAACTCAGTGCTACCTTAAAAGAAGTTCCACCTTAAAATTCAGTGCTACCTAAGTGCAATTCCACCTTAAAAGCAGTTCCACCTTAAAAAAAACATTATGTGTGCTGATACTGCTGAGCATTAGGCTGTGAGCATGTGAGACATTGGGCTCCGTGCGTGAGTTTGAATGTGTGTGTGAGAGAGGTGGCCATTGTGACATCACATGTGGCATGCTGCCAACATTCCGCCCATTCATTCCCTATAGGAAAAAATATCGACTTTGAACGATAATATTCCGAAAACTGTACGTCGGATCGCTTAGAAAAGCACAAGCAACCTAATCGGGTATAGGATCTATGATCCTGCAAAGTTTCGTGGCTTTTTCAAGCCAACTTAACAAAACAAAACAAACAAACAAAAAAGGAAAGGTTCTGGGTTGCTAGGAACTTTCATTTCAGTGCATCAATTGGCAAACATCAACTGGCAAATTAACTAGTGTCATTCCAGTTGTTTTAATTATTGATTTAAAAAAAAATAAAAAAAATAAAAAAATGTCCAAAAATCTATTCCAAAAAATATTCAGAACCTAACTAGACTGAGATGAAAGTTTTTTATTACATAAATGCCTTATCAGGCTTCATTAACTGCCATGGATGCAGGAGGGAAACTGAATGTCAGGCATTGAATGAAAGACTCAATTAATGATCTACTTGCTAAAATCAGCTAATTTTTTTTTTTTTCTAGACAATTCGTTGTTCTGCTAGAATGGTGCAAACCAACAATGAGAAGCCACTAGACTGAAGACAAGTTTATTCTCAGGATCCTCAAGATCCCAGTTTCACTGAAACATGATCTTATAATCAGTGATGGGCATCACAGGCATTTGATGAGGCCAAACATGGTGCTGAACAGCCAGCATCGGCTTACTGCATGAGTGGTACCCTGCACTGAGAAAACCAGGCAGCACAGAGCCAAAGTGAAGACAGAGATAGTGAAGGGGAAAATAACTGGATAGACATGTATAATATGGGCATCAGCGATAAAAAGGAAATGGTTTGAGCCTCAGCATTATTTGTGTGAGATACTGAGAACACTTGAGACAGACTTATTCCTTTTATTCTACTGGTCAAAATTAGAGTTGCCGTCAAAATTTTGAATTATGCCTTTTTTAAAGTGACAGTTTTTTGTCAAAAAAAAACCTAATCCTAACCAGCTAAGACATGTTGTATGTTTTTCAGTACAGCTATGAGGCTAATGTAGCTAACAAGTTATGAAAGTGTACACTCCACTAATCAGCAAAAAGTCTAAATTATCACAAGACAAAAGGGGCAAACTGCAAATTTGATTTTTTTTTTTGTACTTTTAGCCAGTCTACCACATGCAGACTCACTCTTGGTGTCCAGCTGGGCACGGTACTTGGTGAAACCCTTGAGGCGCACACGTTCTCCCAGCAGCTGCAGGAACTCCTCCAGTGCCGGACCGGCTGCTTCATTATTGTACATCTCCTCCTCAGTGCTTTGGCCAGCCAGACAGTACATCACCCCCACCTTCAGCTGGAAACTGAGCTGTGGACCAGAAGAGATAAAAGCAAGCCATGAGAGCAGTGTGTTTCCTGTACTTGACATATACTATTACTGGAATTAATGAGCAAAATTGCACAAATTAACTTATAGGAATGTTAACATACTGTACAAATCTTAACTAAGGCTTATGTGCTCTGGGATGAAAATGTGACTGAAAATGCGTGTTGGGTACCCCTTGTTCATCCAGTTTCATCAGCTGTTCCGTGACTTTGGGTGTGTTGAGAGCAAGCCGAAGGCAGTGAGCATTGAGTTCTGGCACGAGGTATTCCAGCACTTCCTTTAGAGGCAGGCCTCGAGCCAAACCGTGCTTCGAAGTAGAGGGCACGGCATCTTCCATAATAGAGCCTCTCAGAGTTGTCAACTACAGATGGTGAGATTAAAGAAAGCAATGAGAGAGTTGGAGTTACATCATCAGTGAAAGGACAAAGACTCAGTAATAACCAGACTGAAATCAAAAGGAAGATATAGTCACAAAGAGATTGCAATAGACCACTATTCTATCCTGCTGTTTAAAACAACAGTGCTCATATAAGGTCTAAATTGATGGACAAAAGATTCTATAAAAAGCTAAAATAAACCCCCTTCCAACCCACCTGCATGTCTGGAAATAGCACAGTAAAGAACAACACATAGGGCCATGCATTACACCAGGAGCAAAGCTATTAAGCTCCTTCAGAGTGCATCTGAATCACAAGTAGCTTCTATAAAATGAGAGCAGGGACTGAGGTCACCATCAAGAGCTGCGTCTTCCTTTTTTTTATTACAAGGACCTGAGCTCCATCAGTCCATCTAGAGCAGCTGTCAAAAGCTCCGTGTGATTAAGGGGCAGTGAAGTGATGGGGCAGTTAGGGCACAGCATGATCTGTGCTAAGCACTGGCAACTGGTTAGCTGTGCCTCTGAGCATGTTATATAAGACGGTGGTGGGCGTCAGACCTGGATCTCACCCACTGCTGGCTGCTGAAAAGCAACATGCAGACTAAGGATGCTACCAATTTGCATTCAGAGACTGGAAGGGACAGGGAGAAAGAATTTAAGTGATCTGAGCCCTCACCTCACTGGTTCTGAAGATGACTCGGTAATTGTATTGCGGGCCATGCTCCTTGTGATCCTCCAGCTTCTCTCGCCGAAGACTCACAGCCACTGGCCCCAGTGTTTCATCCACCCCCAAGTAGTTCCAGTGCTCTGTATGAACGAAAGAAATATAGCAGACAGCTGTGTTTTAACATAGAAGCATATCACAACATTGCCAAATAAGTCTCAACTTCTACGAAGTGGATATAAATGTCATAAATATGACTGCACATTTCACTTTGTCAATTTCATTTTAAATCTTCAGTCACCAATAGACCTCAGATCATCATACAAAAAGCTGCCATATGAAGTAGTGATGCAAAATATATTGTTTGTTCATCGCGGTGATATTAACCTTTGCAACACTGATATCACAGAAGACTGCAGTATGTAATTAAGCCCTCTAACTATCATATAGAGCATTGTACAGTGTACTGTGAACAGTAAACAGTAAACTATTTATGGTCAATCACATCACATCGCCGATTCACCAGTGCATTTTGAATATGTTCCAAGGTGTATCGCAATATGTTGCAAAATACTCGCAATATTAGCATTATAGTGTCAATGTATGGTATTGCAGTGCTTTTACTAATATGTTACCACTTATCATCATTTATTGTGCACAAACTTTACTCACCCTGGAATCAATATCTAAAAGAAACTGTTCGATGATACAGTAGTTTCCATGTGTTGTTTCCCTTTGATTTTGACTACTTTTTCCACAGTCTAAGTCTTTGCAAACCTCTACCCATTATCAGCTTTTACCCTGTTTAAAGACAGACTGGGTCACTGTGTCACCTCCACTGTGACGTGTTTACCTGGGAGCATTGCAAAATGTCCAACAATGTGTCTACATGATCATTTCATTCTTTGCAAAGCATATGATCAATAGTTCTAAAGATGATAACTGAACGTTAATGTACTCAAATTTACAAAAAATATTTTAGATTGAGAGTAATGAATTTAGTGTGATGCTAATCATTCAAGTTCCCTCTTACTTGCAACTGACTTGTGCTATCTTACAGACGCCAATTCTTTTTGACCGTAGCCCCTGAGTACCAGATAACCGTAATTATCTATAGCTTATTGCAGGGGTTTTCCCCTACTACCCCTAATAACACATATTGCGAAAATGTCTTCAAGTGGAGCGGCATGATATGCAATGTTTAATTAACTTGGTGAACATCATAATGACAATATGTGATGCGATAATTTATTATTAAAATAGAGTGCCACTGATTGATAAGTACTTGTATCAGAAACGCAAGCACATTTTTGTGGGCTGTAAAGTCGTGAACGGGAAAGGGACGTGAGATTATTTTCTGGTAGTGTTCAATTTCGCTTTGTGCAGAATGTAAAGTGAATTTTAACCCCACAAATTTGCAAAGCTCAGAAGCACCAGCGAACAGAAAACAAGAGAGCGAGCAGTGGTGTCTTCTTTCTGAAAAATACTAAATGGTGTGACCACAGCTTAACGATGAATGAAGATACAAAGTGTCACAGATGTTATGAAGCTTCAAAAGCTATTTGACTTCTAATGAAGCATCATGATGATATTTTTGCCATATCGTTATACACCTAGCTCAACTCCGATCCTGAGTCCTACACAGTTTAGTGGTTTTCATGCTCAAACACACCTCATTCAACTCATCTTTCAAACGCTGGGTGTGGTGGATGTGTTTGAGTAGGGGACTGCCAAACTGTGCTGGACACAGAGCCTCCAGGACTGGAGCTGAATACTCCTGATGTACTGGCTTATAGACTAAACATATGCTATATTATCTCAAGTGTTGCTGCTTCTTTTAAGATGATGGTGGTGTTTAAGTTGCAGGCATTTTTATGCCTATGGCTGCTATTTAGGGGACCGAGGCTGTTTTCATACTAGTTTTTGTCCGAACCAGAGTTGGGGGTTTTTTTTGTGACATTGTATCTTTCATTTGGTTTGGTTGATTTCACACTGCAATGGCTTAAGCACATCAGATCACACAAATGAGCGTTCAAAAACTTTGGTCAGAAATTTTGCACAAATGCAGATTTACCTTTGAATTTGCAACCACCAAAAAAATAAAAACCTTTGTGTTTCACAGTCAAAGAAATAATAATAAACTTCACTGGATATCTGCTTCTTTATGATTGGTTAGTCAATTTGAATGCAACCAATCAGGTCGCTAATGCAATAAGTTTAATGATCCATGTGCCAATATTAAAGGCAGTGCTTTGCTGTAATCTTATTGCTCTGCCATTATTAGCAGCTCACGCTGCAGGAACAATGAGAGTTTATAAAAGGCTCAGATGTTAAGCAGGCAGATTATGCAGACAGGACAGTGCTGACATGCTGCTAAAAGAAGCAGAAATGCATGCTCTGATGTTGGTTTTCTTCGTTTGGTGTGGGCCATCACAAAAATGTGCTCCCAGCACCATTGAGCTGAACCAAGGTTCATTTGGAAAAGGACCAAGACCCACGTTTTCTGCATTGCATACTTCAGTATTATAAAATACACATGTAAAGGCTATACTCTAAAACCATAGTATTCAATAAAACGACGAAAAATGACAGCTGGCTAAAAGTGGATGCTATGCAATCTTACAATCCCAGCATTATGGAAGAGCGTGGCTTCTGAGGTGGTGGGTTAACTATGAAATGAGTGGGAGAATAAAGTGTGCCATTTACCAGAGATTTCATCATTAACAAAGAACCCAGAAGACATCACAGTTACCAAGTTAAGTAAATAAGCTAACCTGCTACCCACATTCAGTCAGAAACAAAGCACTAAACAGTGCTGACGCAAACAGATTCCACAAGAAACCGCTGAGCTGTCTTTGGTATTTAAAGCACTGCAAACGCTTAAAGATATTTTTGTGTGTTCTAATGAGAAAATAATGAAACCGATAACGAATTTGGGCATTTCATAGGATTGTTCCTCCTTAGTTTAGAGGTCGTAACTGTACCACTGAATTCCACATTCACTGAAAAGGCATACTTAAATAAGACAAGACAACTACATGAAGGTCGACTTCAATTAAGTATGTAGTAGTTACAAGGCTGGATTTTGATCTATTTTCAGTACCCATCACTGCTATGTGGTGAACAATCCCAACAAGCAGTAAAGCCAAATTATTACTTTTTCATCTTGGTTGATTTGTGCTACAATTTTATCATATAAATAATGTGAGTAGTAAGAGCACTCACTGTATTTAAATGCTGCTGCTACACCTGTGCCAAAATGTCATAGAACAATTATGCATGACTCATTGTGCTGAACAGCCATTTGCTTCTTTCTTTCAATGTAGCACAAATTTCATGTTATTTAAATAGGCAGCTGGTTTTTCATGTCTGCTTGGCCTGTTAAAGAACAAATGTTATTAGTATTAAAGTGTGTTTCATGTGTTCATAGTCCACACAGTGTGAGCTTGGGGTATTTAAGAGCAAAAACAAAACAAAGGCTCATAAAAATCAGCCCAAAAAACAGCCATCAGCAAGTTAAAATCTCTATGCCATATATACAATGTGCTGTTACAATTAAGTTCATTTCAAAACCTGAAATATTTAGAAAGTTTCTGAATAATACATTAGACAATTGTTTGACATTCGATCATTTTAGGGCTATCACTGTAGATGTTATAATCACCTTATTATTTCAAAAATTATTATTTGTTTTTTTTTTTTTGCCTTCATTAAATAAATCAAAAGTCTGAAATGTTTTTTGCTGACAAAGCTGGTGTGAAGCACAACAGCATAAGAAAAGCCCCACTGCACAGCGCTTTTCTTCTGACATGCTTTGTCATGCTTCATTAACAGGGGGCTTTTATTTTGAAAAGGTGCAGCATTTTGTAGAGAAACACACGCAGCATTTCATGTTTCCTTATGTCCCAACACAGCACAATGACTTGTTTCATCTCCTTAAACAAATACACTTACCTGTAATGCCATCATTAATCATTATTAGAGTGTCAGGCAGCATTAATAAAACCACAAAGTGAGAATTAGATGTGTATTGCATTTTGGAGCAAAACTCATCTATTTTAGAGCAACTATGTCTATGAAACAGTTTTAATAGTGTATCAGTCACGTCTGGTCGATACTCAATCCACTGAAGGTTAGTATTGGTGCAGATATCGGTCCAGTATATCAGATTGGTGTATCACTAATCATACGGCACCTGAACATGAAGTGATGACTGCCCATTTCCATACGTGTGATCTAACACATGACTGCCTTGCATGAATCTACAGCTGGGAGAGAACTAAGCCAATGAAAGCAGCATGACCAATTGGCTCTCCTGGACTAAGTCGTCCCATCTAGAAGATAAGATGCAGTCTCCTTAGCTGCACTACCTCAGGACCTCAATGTGTGTTTTAATGACACATGGTACCATAGCTCTGCTTTAACATGACAGTTAACATCTCTATTGTTAACTTTATATGACATGCCTTTTCTCTTCTCTATTATAATGCTTACTGTTGAACCAAACAATGACTTGCAGTTTCTCTCCCTGGGAGTGTTATAAGATTGTATCTGCACTAACTGCAGTGATAACAGACACTGTTTATTTAGTAGAAAGTTCAGTTAGCAAGCTTTGAAAGGGCCTTTCCAAAACATCAAAAATGACAAAGATTATAGCGCCAACCATAAAAGTGAGAAATTCCAACAATGATGTGCCCTTTACACACTTAAACAAATGAAGGGTGGTCTTCGACTTTTCCACAGTACTGTGTGTGGTGAAATCCTTGTTTCTTATGTAATTTCCAGTCAAAACAGCTTCCAAGTACAAGTAATTCCTTTTGCAGGAAATCTCTGAGGAGATAAGATTTAAGACAATCCACATACACGAAGAAGGGGGAAGAAGGGAAAGAGAAAATAAAAGAGAAAACAAGAGTTGCCAAAATTTCGGAAAATTATACAAAAAAAAACACAGATAAAATGGGACTCCTAACAACTGTGTAAGACCTTGTAAAACCACCAAACCTGTCCCCATCAGATAAACAGATTTTAAAGCTTTCATCTTTGAGAGAGAGGAGAAAATCAGAAAAAAAAAATCTCAGGGGTTTCTGTTCATCCTTCCACTGCTAGAAGACAACACAACACTATGAGTCTGAAAGGATGTGTAGAGGTCCTTGCCCTCAAAGGAAATAGAAAAAAAAAAAGAACATTTGCGAATCAAACAAAGAAGCTGCTGGTGTTCTCAGAACAATGGCCTGACCACCCCAGAATCCAGATCTCAACATCACTGAATGTGTTTGGGATTACTTAAATCATGAGAAGCACAAAATGCAACAACTTCAAAAGACTGAACTTTGTAGGTGTAAAAAAACCATCACTGCCAATTTCTTTGAAAAACTGAAAATGGAAGACGTAATTAAAGCTAAAAGTGGAAAACACTAAACTGAAACATGACATTTGTTCATTGAGCCTTCTGTGTAATTTTCTGTTAAATATATGATTTCTGCTTTTTTGCCAATGCTGCAAAATAAATAACCATTCTGACTGGAAATCAAATAAACAAAATGTGATCCCTGAGTTTTGTACAGCACGTATTTGCCATGTGTTTCCTTACAAGCACAGGGGCGACAGTTAAATGTGTCAAACTACAAGAATTTACAACAGGGATCTTTCCCATGCTGCACATTCTTTCTAACTGATCATTAATGTGACTTTCAAATGTCTTGGCACATTTGGAATATTAATTAAACCCAATTCATAAAAAAAGAAATCTAGTCGCTGCTTATTACATTCCTGATTCAAAAACTGTGATAAATGTTTGTAATTCAGTAAAGCACTGTGATTCAAATGATTCCTACAACTGAATGACAGTTAAAGCCTGGAAACTAGCAAAATGTTTCAAGAAGCCACACTCACCTCTCAAATAGAAGTACTTCCTGTAGTAATAGGACCCCAAGTCCACATGTTCCACAATATTGTTCTTTCCCCGCTCATGGTGAATGCTCTTGCCATCCTTGGGAGCTTCCAGCACTGCCACCCCCGCATTGCTGAAATGGGTGTTGGGAGCCACATCTGGGGATCCATCCTCATCCCTTGAGGAGCTGGAGGATCCGCTGCCAATACTGCCTTGCTTTGACGGGCTGATGTTCCTCTCGCCTTCACCACCTATCTCGTTACGGAAGCAGGGGCAGCTGAGAACTAGATCGTTACTTTTGTCATCACCTGAATCCAGCGAGGGTCCATCCTTAACATTGAGTTCCTCTTGGCTGCCACAGGGGGAACCATAGGCCCCACTTTGGGTGGAGGAGAGGGAGGAGGAGGTGGAGGCTGAAGCTGCAGCAGCAGCCGAGGCTCCTGTGGTGGTGTTCTTCCTCTTGACAACACTCTGCCGGCTCTGGACAGCCTCGTTCAAGTCAAAGAGGACGCTCTGGACATCGTAGTGGGCAAATCCTTTCTGACAGACCCAAGGCTTGGGGGGAGGACCTGCATCATCAGATTTTCCGTCTTCCGCATCAGAACCAGCACGAGAAGAATCGCCCTCGGCTTTGACACTTCGTAACTTGCGGAATATGGACTCCCCTCCGGTCTCAGACTTCGAGCGCCGCTTCAGGTGTTTCTCTCTCTCCTTTAGACGACTTGCAGGACTTCCTCTTGGGGGTCCCAAAGGACCATCTGGTAAGTCAAGAGCAGTTTGCTTGTGAGCTACGGTTAGGAGTTCGCTCAGTTTCTCTGGAGCAGGGCTGCGCTGGTCAGGTGCGTCTGTCTGGTAAGCTTTAAGCATGTCAAAGAAGCTCTCTCCAGAGACCCCATGCTTGTCAATGGACGAGGTACTGCCGTACTCCCGGTGCATTGGGGTCCAGCCTGAGAAGGACCAGCCCTCGTTGCCATCCCCATCCAGCTCACTGATTGTGATGTCGCTATTGCTGCGCTGTCTGATGCGCCGCATGCCCTTGCGTGGCGAGCCCAGGTAGCCATCAGGGGACAGGAAGCGGTTGTCTTTGCCCTTGCTCTGCATCTTGTTCTTCAAAGTGTTCTGAATGTTGCGCAGCATGGAGGAATCCTGAGGGCTGATCAGGTGACCCAGCTTGGCAGAAAGGTTGCTCTGGGTGCTCTGTGGGGGGGTCGGTGAGTCGGTCTCCACAGTAATGTGCCACACACCCCCACCCCCTCCGCCTCCACTTCCTCCCCCACTCCCACTCCCACCCCCTCCTCCTCCACTTCCTCCCCCACCACCACTCCCACCCCCTCCTCCTCCACCACTTCCACCACCACTTCCGCCATCTTTCCTCGGGGGCCAGTCTGCAACTCTTGCTCGAACTCCCATCTTGGGCACTCCAGGTGTGCATCCAGACAGGTGGGTGCTCTCACTGCGCGGGGGGGGCGCCCCACCATTGGGCAAGCGCAGGCGACGGGTGTAGAATTCATCTGTGGCAGGCACAGAGCCCCCCACAGAGCGCTCGGTCTGTGAACGCTTCAGACTGGTCATGGCAATGTCAAAGAACAGAGCTCAGCACAAGGACATGCCTGCTGAGTGGTCAGAATAAGCAGCCCTGGAGAGCATGGGCTGTCATGAGGACAAAATGCAAAGAGGATGAAAGTCAGCAGTGTTCTCTTCTTGCTTTTCCTAAAGCAGTTAAGGTTGCATGGCGATGAAGCAGAATGGTCAGACGTCCTCCTCCATCGCTCCTAAGGTGAGATTAATTCTGTAAGAGGGAAAAAGGGAAAGACTGAATCAGTATCAATGAATCAGAGAGAGTGAATCAGAGAAAGGAGTAGCTCTACTGCTGTGATAAGCCACAATATTGACCAAAACTTATTTTCACTTATGCCCAAGGCATACCAAACCACACCATTACTTGCCTGAAGCGAAAAAGGACAATTTCCAGTTCAGATCAATCTGCCTCAAGCAAACTAACCACCCAGTTTCAAACAAACTGTACAGAACTAATGCTGCTATAACAGATTCCATAGCAGTTATACTTTTTTTTATTAAAATACTACAATAAAATGGGTTACATCATTGATTCCCAGTCCTCAACTGTCCCTAGACTGTTTTTTCCTGCCCCCGAATCACCAGACTCGACTCCTAAGCAATAAAATGTGCAAGACTGGGAAAGATTAGGTTAAGCCAAGGAGCCTTAAAGCAGCTTCCCCACTCAAAAGCCTTCACTATATGCTTATGTACATAAAAATGTGAAATCACCATGTTTTGGCATTCCACGCACTTGTAAACAATGCTTATGCACTCTACCTTGCCAAAGGGCAAAACTACAGCAGATAAATAAATCAAGAGCTCCCCTGCTGTGATCAGCCACTGCATTACAATCAACAGATCCAATGACAGCAGACAAGGTTAACATTTTTTACATGGTGTCGCAATGTGATCCAGCTGCTCATTTACTGTAATACATATCACACGTGGTATATATTCCTCTTAATGGACAACAAACTTGCAGGTATAAGAGGTAGGTCCTAGAGGGTTACAGCAGACCTGGTCATTTGGAAGAATACAATTTGTTGGACATGACTCCCTGCTTTTCATCAAGGGATTCAGATTCCATGACATGAAAGAGCTTTAGAGATCACCGTTTATTACAGCCACGACTAGATGTACACAGACGATGGCCATTAAGGTGGAATTACGCAGGTGGTGCAGTGTTTTAAGCATACATACTATGCAATGCAGCAGGAGTGCCTTATGACAGATCTCATACGACAGTCAAGATAAGCTCTAAAATGTCAGTTTCCTTAGTTTCCTGGCAACCATCTGCCAACTGTTTTCTGCTGTAGAGCGGCGGTGCTGCCGGGTTAACCTTAATGAGGGAGAGAGAGAACGAACGATGGAGTGAGTGAGCAAGGAAGCAGAAGAGAGAGAGAAAAAAAATACTGAGAGAGAGAGAGAGAGAGAGAGAGAGAGAGAGAGAGAGAGAGAGAGAGAAAAAATGACTGCACTGTGACATCATTTACCACCGACAGAGTAAAGACAACAACATGGGGCAAGAGGGCTGTATCACAACACTGAGGTCACACGGAATATCAGTTCAGGTCAGACTGAATTAACATATTCAGACAGATCTGGACTCCTGCATTCCTAAAATCAAACATGAAGCTACAGGTAAAAGAAGTGCAGATTTAGCACAGGCAAAAAAAATAAAAATAAAAATAAATAAATAAATAATAAAATAGCACTACGTAATCTGCGTATCTAAATTACAGTACACTTGCCTCAAACCATGCAAAGTTGTTAAGTTATCTCAAATAGACTTGTTTATGTAGTTTGTCACTATAACATACTGATACCTACAAAAAAGGACAGTACAGACAAAACTTCAAGATGGTCACTACTCCCATTTTCAGCAATGCATACCATTTACACAATTTACAGTTAAAATGCCCATTATGTACTACTTACTTTTTTCCAAAGTCAAAAAACATATTTAACAGGGATTTACACAAAAACCCCGAACACCAAGCATAATATCAAGTCTAGCAGTATTTAATTTGTCCACACTTTACTGTGCACACCTATTGCAAATTTAACTCTCATTAACACTATCCATTCAACTATAAAACCAATGACTTACAGCAAAAGTGGGATTTCTGAGGAGATAATCCACTTGCATGAATTAAGAGGAAAGCAAAATAATAATAATAATAATAATAATAATAATAATACTTTCGCTTTGAGATGACAACTCAAAGCTATGAATCTGCAAGGATGTGTAGCTGTCAATATACTGCTGAGAAAACATGGACTAAAAACAACTTATACACTAAAACACTAAAACTGGACATTTCAGATGCGGAGGAAGGTTTTATAAACTGAGGAGTCTAAATCTGTCATTTGAGAATATTTGGATCGTGAGACACAGAAAATGCAACAAACTCTAAAAACCAAACTTTGTGGGTGTTAAAAAAAATATCCCTGCAGATTTCTTACAAAACACTTTGTTTCTTTGATTAAAGGGCGGTCTCTGACTTTTGCACCGTATTGTACTTGTGTCCTTTTTTTATAGACAACATTAACTTGACAAGTATATGTTGACTGAGACATGCACTTCGGAGAATGCTAACATATAGGGTATACGCTTCTATTACTTGTTAGCTAGTAGTATTGTAGCTCCAGCGCAAAGGTGACAAAGTGTAAATTTGAATTTCTACCAAACTGTTGCTTTAAAACACTGAGTAATAATAGCATCTAACTTTTGATTCAAGAAATGATACTTTATGTCTAAATGACATCAATGGCCTCTATGAGAATGCTGACTAAACTAACCATATGCTTGACTTAAATCATGTCTGCAGTGGCGAGAAACTTTATGCCTACAGAGAAACGTGACATGTTCCTGTCATCAGGTCCCTGACCTCTCACTGGCTGAGAGGGTGTGAACAGAGGAGGGTGTGGCACACACTCACCCCCTGCAGAAACAGACAAACACATACATTCACCCTCTAAGAGAAAATGAGGTCATGGGAATTTCCATTCCTAGAAAGGAAAAGCCAGACTACAGCTCTCTCTCTCTTTTTCTCTCTCTCTCTTTCTCTCATGATCCAATGTGTTTTTGGAGGTTGAGCTGCAGGTGCTTCAGTCAAGATGAGCATAAATTTGGGTGTTAGTCATCCGCAGCTGCCAAATTACAGCCCTAAGACTGACAGATGGGGCTGGCGCCGGCTGACACATTCCATGTAACCGGCTAATGAGAAAGAGGTACCTATGACAGGTTCCGTGAGGAACACAATGAGCAAAGTAGATATGACTAGCGCACAGATGACAACGCAGACCATGTGCACAAATCTATAACTAGAAACAGAGGTGAAAAGGCTTGGACTACTTGGTTTCTCCTTGAAAAAGCAGTAGGACATGAGAATGGAAGTGTTTGAAAAAAGAGGAGATAAAGTGTAATTATTGGTACAGTAATAACGGCTCTGGCTCACCTCAGATGTAGTCAATAAGCCAAGACATATTTAGCATCCAAATTTGCTTCTTTAGTTTAGCCCAGGATCTACGTGGCTAACATCACTAACAAACACTAGACGTTTCTGTTTTTTTATTATTATCAAAAATTAACTAAACCATTGACCTTGAATTTCTGAAGATGTATGCTTATAGAAACGAGAAATTGTGATCATAATAAAACATCCATATGCCTACATAATATGCATGCACACAAAAGGAAGTTGGATTTTGACACAACACTTATCTAAACTGGCTGCCCACAGTGTTCAGCTACACTGTGAAGTTTTGTTCATTTTAATAGTAAATCACATTGTTCCCTAAACAGATTGACAAGTCTGTGCGACCTTACTGACGACCTGGACGTGGCTTGATGGGGTTGAGAGAGGTTTTGGGGATGTATTTACAAAAAAGATTTGAGAGACTATTGACTTCTGGTTTCTATGTCCAGCATTAAACTAAGGAAGCAAATCCTGGCTAAGCAACTACATCTGGGGTAAGTGGAAAATTGTGCGTTTCCATTTTAACATCTCTTTGACCAGGGCTCCAAACCATTTTGACTGGGGGGGAGGGAACAAAAAAAAACAACTGACAAGAAAACAAAAAACAAAAAACAAACACAAAAAAAACAACTGAAGCAAACGCTATCAGAAATAGGAATAACCCCTAACTGAGGAGAAAAAAAAAAAAGTTACAAAACAGGGCAAAGCAGCCTGTCCTTCTCTCTATCTCCCCTCTCCCCTCTATCTCTCTTAGATAGAGAGAGACTAAGATAAAGGCGTGAGAAGAGCTGGTCCAAACAGAGAGCGATTGTAATGGACCTGAGCACGTAATGGAGTCTAAAAAAGGAACTGCAGGCATTCAGAGTGCAGAGAAAGGGTGTCTAAAGAGAGAATGAATATAGCTGTGGACAAGCAGAGGTGGGCTGAACTTCCATGACATCTTTATGAAAAACCTGGAGGAATAAAAGACCCTGGTGTAGAACAATGTGTATAATTGTAGCTTCTCAAGCAACAGAGTACAGTTAGATAAACATTGGCCTCCAATTATAATCACTGACTATACATTTGCAGGGAGCACTGTTGCTTACGAATGTTTCAAAGTTCAAATGCACAGAGAGACTTTTCAATTACTTTGTAAGCTTTTAAAACCTAGAGGTGATACTAGGGCTGTCGCTATCGATTATAACGAGAAGGCGACTGGTTGTTTTGATGATCACTTAAGTAACTGCAGTTTTACGCAATAATAAACCACAGTCTTTTAAAGGTTCTAAAACGCTTTAGTGGAAAAGATAAACCAGGAAGACTTTAAAAAGACTTCAGAAAAAATACACAGTATAGTGCAAAAGTCAGAGACCACACTGATTTTACTTAATTTTCAGTTAAAACAGCCAATAAGTACAAGTTATTAATTTTGAGGGGATATTTCTGATTTCAATCTTGCTTCAGGTCTGAAAAAAAAACACAGGTGTCCCTGTCTGTTCTTCCACTGAGAGAAGACAACCCCATGCTATGAGTCTGAAAGGATGTGTAGCTGTCAATAAACCCTTACTAAGGAAATAGAGAAAAAAAGAGGACAATGTCAATTATACAAAGAAGCTTTTTGTGTTCTCTGAACAATGAACTGACCACTCCAGAGTCCAGATTTCAACATCTCTGAATGGGTTTGTGATTACTTGGAATGTGAGAAGCAAAAAATGCAACCAACCTCTAAGACTGAACTTCGTAGGTGTGGAAAATTTCCCTGAGA